ACCGTCGCTTCCAAAATCCCCATGGACCAATTGCTGGGTAGTTGTCACGAACCTCAGGGGGTGCGTTGTGTGGGATCTGGCGGGTGAGAAGCCTGTGGGCGATTATGGGGAGGACGATGACGGCGGCGATGGCGATGATGGCGATGGAGACGAAGATGACTGCAGTGCAGAAGAGGATGAGCGGGGAGGAGGACACTCCATATGGAAAAGGGTCAAATATGGACATTTGAGCTACTGCACGGTTGAGGGCTTTCTTCTGTAGCAATGGTAATTTTAACACTCAACTGCTGTCAACCAGTGTCTCACTGGTTACCGTTTTAGCTTTATATACATCAACAGCAGGAGAGCAACCCCTTCAGGATGATGCACCGATATGCTCACTTTCTGAATAACGTCTTCTCGTCTATCAGTACTGTGTAGCCAATCGCTGCAGTCAAAACTAAGAAGTATATGACTTCGCTTCAACGGTGCATAGGCCATATCCGTCACCTCCCGGTCCAACCACTACCCCAGATCGTCAAGTGCTGACTACCTCGCAAAACCTTAATTCACTAGTTTCCCTCGCTTACAGACCTTCCGCATGTTGGCTTGTGGATATTGGTTATTTCAGAGCTGGATGCCAAGTAGGGTTAGTATATGCCGTAGATAATTAGCTGAAGCGTCCGCGAAAGACAACAGAACTAATCAAGGATATTTATTCGCAGTGATGGTATCCTGTCGCGTCGCTTCCTGACATCTCAGGTAATTATACTTCCCGCGTGTCCAGTGTGACTACGTATACTTACTCGTTACGGAATCGGGCCGCGTTCAGCAGCTTATTCCTACCACCTTGCGTATCAACCACACCCCAGCTCATTCGCCAAAGGCAAATCAACAGCTGTCGAATCTGGGAAACCTTGTGTATCTGTACGTAAGAGGTGTTGAGCGAGTTTGCTGATCCCGCTGGCTTCCTAGAAAGAAAATATTATATGATCGCTCATACTATAGGTATATGCAGTATACCCCCGGCAAGGATACTTAAACGCGTGCTATGCCCGGTCGTCTATACGCCGTCTGATCATCTCATTTAATCTAATCTCACCTAATACCGACTGACTGGATTCGATGCGCGTATATTCAGGGATTTCGAATAGCGGCCAATATACTTGTCAAGTTTCGGGAAGTGACTGAGTGGGGTGGTGGTTAATCGTTTTGGTGTTGTGGTAGCAGAGCCAATTATCAGGCGCGTCCCAGTGCCTTATAATGCTAAAAGACAAAACTTTTTGCTCGTTTTAAACAGCCCTATTTCCTAGATGAAATTTTCATCAAGCTTACGACGCAGCAGAGCTTGTTCTTTTCCAATGACCTCTTGTGTTACTACTTCATTACGTGGCCTTTCTGCTCCGAATCTCCCTTGACGTTGCCCTTGAAAACCCTACACCCAATCCTCCTTGCCCTTCACACGCAGTTCACCTTGACCATCATCTTCCTCTTCAACTACTTGAGGCCTGTTCGTTCTCTGTTCTCCGTTTTCCGTTTCCATTTTGTTACCATTTTAGGTTTAGAACTTTAGCAGGGGAGAGCTACTTAGTCTCATATCTAGCGCAGTCACGTGGCTCCGTTTTCTCGCCAGGGGTCCAGAGGTGCAGCTACAAAACAGACCTCACTTTCGCCTCGAAGGAAAAAAGCATAGAGTGAATCGGCACAAGACAGTGCTTGTTTTAGTATAAGGGCGCCAACAATTTCTAGCGCCGTTTTCTGACTGCCAGACTTACGCATCCGTTTTCCGAACACGACGCCGTTTCCGTATCCGTTTTCGAGGCAGAGTTCAGATTATTCCCAGATTGAGTATAACAGACGTAAAATGGAGCTGAACCGAACCGGCCCTTGACCCTTCGCCTGCCGTTCAGAAGATATTAGACTTTCTTCGATCGAGAGACTTGGGTTTCCTGTCTTTACCATAAGCCTGCTGCTTCTCTGTTTTTTGGTCATATTTTCTCTTCATTGGACAAAGGAGAAAATAAACTTGAGCATAAGCCTTTTTCCGGCGGATAAGCAATTAACAGTCACCGCTAGCGGACTTGGGCTATGACATGATTTTTCCACACTGCAGGCCCCATGTCACGTGGCTGTAGCTTGGCATTGTCGGCCCATCACTCCGGGGAAAACGACAAAGCAATCAATCCTCCGCACTTTGTATCCTAGCTCGGCCTGGAGACGAGCGAATGTCACGGTCTTAACGCAAAAAGGCAGAGTATGCGGCTCAACAACCATCGGGGATCCACTTTCTCGTAATGCAGTTCCGAGCAACGACCAGCGTTTTTCGCGCAAGCGAGGCATCGGATAGTACGGCTTGCACCATCGGCATCTGACTGGCAGAAGCCGACGTCCGACCGCCTCCCAGGTAATGGAGAAAGACGTGCAAGCCACATGCGCAAAGGCTAATTTACATGCCTTGTTGATCTGCACCCATTGTTGCCAGTCTGAGCGCTGGCCATAGTGCTGGATCAACGTGCGACCAAACCTGCCATCCAATGGCGCATTGGACCTAATGCGGGGGGAAAACGATTTGTGCAGGCAAAATGCAACTGTTGCTGCCAGGCTCCACTCGAGACGTGCGCTCAACCGCCATGACACCATCAGGCACATTTGGCCTTACTCCACTAGGCCACGGTGCAGACTCTTCGGCCATGCGACGGTGTTTGATCGGATTGACGTACAGTGGGGTAGGGTGGTAAATATCCTGTATGGAGGCCCACAGCGGAGCGGAGAGCGCATTGGGGTCGTATTTTTCCCCAGCTGCAGCTATAAGAAATAACGAGGGGACCCCATGTGTTCGTCTGGCGCTTGTTGATTTACGTCTCTCCTGCAACGACAAGGAGCTCTAGCAATATGGCGACAGCGTACGAGGGAGAGAAGATATCTGCGCATGATGCGGCTCAGATCTCGGAGCACCACACAAAACCCAGCGCTGTTGCCACCATGGATCCCGAAAGAAGGAGGCAGGTTGAGAAGTCGCTGAAGCGCAAGTTGGATGCACGATGCTCGCTTTTCGTGCTGATATACATTATGAACTGTAGGGGATTTTCCAGATATGCGGTCGCATGCTTGGTATTTGGTGCTGACTATTACTACCAGATCTCGACCGAAACAACATTGCTGCAGCGCGTCTGGGCGGTCTTGAAGAAGATCTCGGTCTCACTCCCACACAATACTCGACATGCCTGAGTATTCTCTACGTCGGCTACATTCTGATGCAAGTCCCATCGAACATGATTATCAACGTGATACCCCGACCATCGCTCTACATTTCAGTCGTTATGTTGGTATGAAACCTCTTGTCGTGCCATATCGCAAATTCACCTCACTAACGTTGCCTTTTTTTTATAGCTTTGGGGAATGATCAGTACGCTGAGCGGCAACGTCAATAACTTCAGTGGCATGGTCGCCATTCGCTTCTTCATTGGATTCGTCGAGGCAGCTTTCCTGTAATTCCCCCCCGTTACCGCATTTCCGCGTAGCTAGAGCGAAATTAACATGACGAATTCTAGGCCGGGAGCATTGCTCATCCTCTCCAAATGGTATACCAGACGCGAACTCACGCTTCGCAATGCCATTCTTTTCTGCGGAAACCTCATCTCGAACGCCTTTTCGTCTCTTGTAGGCGCGGCTGTTTTGGGCAACATGGAGGGAACTTTGGGCCATGAGGTGAGTAAAATAATCCGATCAAGTATCCTTTTTGTATTTAAGCGAATACTGACATACGAACAGGCTTGGAGATGGCTTTACTGGTAGGCACTGGAAATTTTCAAGTAAAAGTTATATACAACTAATACAGAGTTAGGATCGAAGGAGCAGTAACAATGCTCATTGCCATTTCCGCGGCATTCATCCTCCCCGATCTCCCCCACAACACGCGCGGCTTCACCGAAGAAGAACGCGCCGTTGCCGTTCTCCGAATGACTGAAGATGTCGGTGAAGCCGACAAAGACTCGGAAGAGCAATCCCCCTTTGCAGGCTTCTTCATGGCCGTCAAAGACGTCAAAATCTACATTTTGATGATCACATTCACCGCCTACGTCACCGGTCTCTCCTTCAACGCCTACTTCCCCAGCTTAACCAAGACCCTCGGATTCGGCTACATCACCACGCTGCTCATGAGCGCCCCACCGTGGGCTTTTGCCTGCGTCGTTAGTCTGATTAACGCGTGGCATTCGGATCGCCAGCAGGAGCGATGCTGGCACATTGTCGGACCCATTTGCGTTGGCATCGTGGGATTTGTTATTTCAATGGCTACATCAAACACGGCGGCGCGATATGTAGCACTGTTCCTGCAGGCGTCGTCATATGCGGGCTTCATCGTTTTCTACTCGTGGATCTCGTCGTCGTTTCCCCGTCCACCGGCAAAGCGCGCGGTCGCTATTGCTATGATTAACGCTTTCAGCCAACGTACGTATTCGTCTGACATCTTAGTATGTACCCGAGAAAGAACACAGCACTAACGATTCTCGCTCTTCTAGTGGGTAACATTGCCGGATCCTACGTGTGGAACATGGCGGCGAACGGATACAGGAACAGCTACGGCGTTGTCACGGCCATGTTTGGTGCTACGATTATCGGATGTCTAATTTTTAGATTTATTCTCATTCGTCTTAACAAGCGGTTGGATGAGGGGGCCGATGCGTGGGTTGTGCATGGCGATGTTGCCGAGCAGACTGCGGCTACCGAGGGTGTGAGCGTGGAAGAAGGCAAGAAGATGATGGCTGGGTTTAGGTACTTGGTGTAAGAAAATCTTCAAAGAGGAATGGATCAAGATGCATAGCTCGATATACTCTGAAATGAGATATTTAATGTATTTGTCTCAATGTTGCTTGATAGAATTAGTGGTAGCGAGACACCTGTAATGATCAAGAATTTCAGTCACTGCGTTTGTTGAACTTTTTTTTGAAAAGTTTCTTTATTTTTTTTATAAGGGGGGAGCTACAGATCTAATCACTGACGTCACCTGTAAGAGTACAACCTTACGCGCCCTCTTCTTCGTTTAGCCTGATGCCTCTCTCAACCAGCCCTTCAATCCACGAGTTGAATTCCTCTCTCATCTCGGCTGGGATCACATGGCCTTGTCCCTTGATAAAGTGTTTCTCAATCTCACCTTGTTGCCAGACATCTTCTTCTTCCTCAATGCCTAGCCAATTTTCCTTGCCCGTTACGCCCTCGCCTTTCTCAAGACCCCTCCACAAGACTACGCCCAAGGGAAAAGTCAACATTTGGTCCTTTGTGCCATGGACAACCATGATTCTCTTCTTCCCAATTGTCTGGGCAAGCTGCTGCAGTTGCTGGGGGCTCTTGTAATGCCAACCAGCTGCAATGGCCTGCAGAATGAAGGGTGCTTTGGAAAAGTACTCTGGGTGCTCGCGTTTCCACATTTCATTTGCAGCAAAGCGGTCCCCATTGGTCGGGAAGGCCTGGACGACAGGCTCCAGGTTGTCTGGCGCGTCCAGCCATTCTTGGGTATACAGATTCTTCTTGACGCCTTCAATCTGGGTATCAAGGGACTTGGGTATGAAGAGATTGGCACGGTTCCAGAGGTTTTCTAAGAAGCCCTGCATGGGTCAACTCGTGTGTGGGTTGGCCAGGTGGCAGCAATTGCGGGACCTACTGTGGTTCTGAAAAGATGTGCAGCTGTTGATACAAGCGACAGGGTGCATATGCGTTCTGGTATCAACATTGCCTATGTCATGGTCAGCACTAAGCCATCTCACAGCCTCTTTGCTTATCAGGAAGATTTTTTTTCGCTCAAGTCTTGTCGACCAACACGTAATGGTATCACGGCAATGCAGGCGTTGCCTGGCGAAAGTGTACGGGAAGAGCCGTGTACAAAGAGGAGCGGAGGGCGTATGAACCGCTGAGATTACAGGGCGAGGCATGGTGTCAGAGAGGATGATGTCGTTTTTTGAGGCGTTTGGCGTCTGCAGCTGGGGTGTATGTGTGTCGGTTGACGGAACGCCGCGTATCCGGTGTCTGATGGTTGGAGACGGTCGTTGAACGCCTAACGATGCAAAATCAAAATAAAAAAACACGACTCACAATCTCCTGGGCGATCATTCCGCCCATGCTGATTCCGATAACGTGCAGATCGCGTTTGGCGGTCCAGCCAACGTGGTCAATGACCTCAATCAGGTCCTTTGCCATTTCGGACGTCGAGTATCTCGACGTGGGCTTATCCGAATCACCGATACCACGGTTGTCGGTCACCAGGCACGAGTACTCGTCGCCCTTTGCATGGCCAAAATCCTTGGTCTGGCGCTGCCAGGCATACTTCATGCCTCCCAGGCCCATGACCCACTACATGATGTTAAATCTCTGGAGGCTGTGTCGGAGAGTAAAATAGAAAAAAAAGAGATGTCGGCATGTTCAGCGACCTGAGACGCCGGGCAGATGTTGAGACGACAAATGCAACCGAAACGAAACGGTGACAGGAGAGAGGTGATGATAGCTGCATGCCTGAGGTGGCACCCATGTCGAAGGGTCGAGAGTAATACCGAGAGGTGGGGCCACTTACTACCAGGTGTCGAGGGCCATTGCCATGAACCTCGTAGGCGACATGAAAGGGCCCGCCTCGATCTTTGGCAACGGGTACCTTTCCTTGGCTTTGGGGTGTCAGTTGCCAGACGATGTGGGGGTATTCTGGGTGCTGGGGTAGCTCTTGGGCAGTCATTGGTGCCATGGCTGGGCGTAAGCTGGTGGGGGTGGACGCGGGTTAGTTAGTGTAGTGTATGCGTGTTATAGTGGTAAGTAAGTAGCATGTCGGTGTAGCGCAGTAGTAGTAGTGCCATTGTGCATAGTGGTGGCGCAGCGAGAAAGGACTTGTGGCGTAGTGGGCGGTAGCAGGTTGCGTGGGTGGTGCATGGATGGATGCTGTTTGTGTATATGGGAGGCAGGACAAACTTACGGGGCGATCGTAGTATACTTGGCAGTAGTATTAAGGTACAAGATGCGTAATGTGCAGACAGAGAGAAAGAGTTTGGGGGTGGGGAATGGATTGTGCGACAACGACTCGGACCAGAAGTGGCGGACGTCATTTGTGTTGGCTGGGCCGGGCTGCGACAGTCAGCCTCAGGTGGCAGTGGATGCGATGCGCACCTGCGTTTCACCTTTCGCCAGCAACTGGCGGCCCCTACGCATACTACGCATGACCCCCCGCCGAGCCGATCCGCCCTCTTGCTCCCTGCATGACCTCCTCAAACACGACGACGGCGGCGACGACAAAAAAAAACAACGACTACCACGATTTTGATTTCCTGACGATTGCAACGATCAATTCCTGTCCCTAACGACACTGTTGCCGGCGCTGCCGTCTGCAGCCACAACCACACGCACAGCCACACTCACTGCGACTACTACTACAACCATCACTACCATTACTAATACCACCACGATCACGCCAGAGCAGTAACGACAATCTCCACTCCACACCTCCGCCATGGACCCCTCACACTCCGGCTTCTACGTCGGCGGCACTCCCATGATGAATGCCCAGCCGCCGCGCATCTTTGGCAGCGGCACCTTTGACGCCTCGCAAATGCCCTCTGGCAGCATGTTTGCTCACGACGACTTGGACGACCACAATGATGGAAGCGATGCCAAACGGCGCCGGATCGCACGGGTACGCACTCTCGCCCGCCCACGCAGCCACACGCACAGCTGGACGCGGCATCCCATGTTGGTGCTGACTGGTGCTGCAGGCATGCGACATGTGTCGCAAAAAGAAGATCAAGTGTGATGGCAAGATGCCTTCGTGTACACATTGCCAAAACTACAAGACCGAGTGCATATTCACCCAGGTCGAGAAGAAGCGACAGCCGCCAAAGGGGTGCGTTCCTCCCCTCTCCCTGCTACAGCTACTGCATTGCCCCCTGTGCGACACGACAACTAGCTGACTGCGCCTAGCGCCAAGTACATCGAGGGTCTCGAGAACCGCCTCGCCCGCATGGAGTCGCTCATGCGCCTCTCCGGTGTCCTCCCCGAAGACGACGATGGCAGCACAGACCTGGCCACGCTCGAGAAGCGGCTCGAGGCACGCGCCGGACGGTCGGCTACCCCCAGAACAAGCAGCATTCACGAGCGGAGACCCTCCGTAGCACCCCACTCCGCCCCATCAACGGCCGACGATGCGCCCACACAGCCAGCCCTACCCAGCCCTACGAGTGGAACAACTTCTCCCAGTCCCGACGACCAACCTACCGAGCCAAAGGACAAGGACGAGGACGCCCTGGCCGAGATGATGTGCTCCTTGGTCACAAACAACTGCGGCGAGACAAGATATATCGGTATGTCTTGGCCCACAACCATGCCTACATGCCTACTCTTTACTAATCACTAACACGCGTAGGTTCCTCGTCTGGCTTCTCCATATTCTCGCCCAAGGGTATCCAATGGGTCAACGACAAGACGGGCGACAACTCGTTCCGTGACATGATCTCTACAGCTGCTGTCGAGGACAACAAGTGGATACAATGGCGACCAGATGTCTTCCAGGACATCTTCAAACGGCGCGTCTACAAGCAGTTACCACCCAAGCACGAAGCCATGTCCCTGCTCAAGGATTATTTTGAAAACTTCAACTGCATGTTCCCTCTATTTCACGAACCCACCTTCATGCATCTAGTCGACAAACACTACTCCAAAGACCCCTACGAAGGCTCCGGCTGGTGGGCAAGTTTGAACGTAGCCTTGGCTTTCGCTCATCGACTACGCGTCATGAGCAATCTCGTGCCTGCAGAGGAGGACGAAAAGGCTTGGCAGTATCTGAAGAACGCAATGAGCGTCATGGTCGAGCTCACTATGCGCAACACTGACTTGCTCAGTGTGCAAGCTTTGTTAGGGGTGGTAAGTGACTCAAAGTAATCCAGTCCCTACCACTCATCCGCCTAACATTGTACAGGGTCTCTTCTTGCTGGGAACACCCAATCCCCAACCCACATATTTCTTCGTCGCGACTGCTATGCGGCTAGCACACAGCATTGGTCTCCATAAGAAGGGCGCCAATTTCAGCCTCAACGCCGCAGAAGTTGAGCAGCGAAGACGTGTCTTCTGGATTGCCTACATGCTTGACAAAGAGTGAGCCCCAGACTTCATCCATCTGTTTCTTTGTATACTTTACTGACCCTGCAAAGCATCTGTCTGCGTTCTGGTAGACCCCCAGTCCAAGATGATGATGACATGAATGTCGAGCTGCCAAGCGAGACGCCACCCGATAATATCGGCAATATCCCACTCGCTGACGGCAAGGGCACCATGAACCTCTTCCGTCTCATGTGCACCTTTGCCGTTATCCAAAGCAAAGTCTACAAGGGCCTGTACTCAGTCAAGGCGTCCAAGCAAACCGACGGCGAACTTCTTAACACCATTGGCGAGTTGGACAAGGAACTCGAAGCCTGGAAAGACGGCATACCCCTCGAGTTCCGCCCAGAACATGACATCAAAGCATCACACACGCCCCTCATCCTCCAGGTTGCCGTGCTACACCTCGGCTATTACAACTGCTTAACTACTATCCATCGTATGAGTGTCCACCACGGATATTGGACCAGCCGACTCTCAAACTTTGCCATTCAAGGTTTGAATGCACGACCCCTGAACCCCAGGGTCTTCATGTCGGCCCAGCTCTGTGTGCAGGCTGCTCGTGCGTCCATTCACTTGCTTAAGTACATACCAAAGGGCGACTTGTCATGTGTTTGGCTAGTGATATACTTCCCCGTCACAGCACTCGTCACGCTCTTTGCAAATATTCTCCAAAATCCACAGGATACCCGGTCGCGATCCGATCTCAAACTTATGAAGTTGGTCGTCAACTTCTTAAATATGCTCAACGACGAACAAGGGAGTGGCAGCGTGAAGCGCATGTGTACTGTTTGCGCCGAATTTGAGCGAATTGCAGCCACGGTATTGGAAAAAGCTGATCGCGAACATGCATCGCGGCGGAAGAGGAAGCAAGGCGACAGCGAACAAGACGCACAGATTGAAGCGACCGCTGCCGAGTTACTCTCAACTGGCCGTAACAATCACTCATCACCGCAGCAGGCAGCTACACCGCAAAACACCAATGCATCCGAGGGCTTGATCTTCAACCCAGACTTCCACGGCTTCAATGAGGTATGTTTGACCAGCCTTTGCGTGACACAAAGCTAACATTTCCAGCCATTTCCCTTCTCGCCAAACTTTACCCATGCATCATTGCAGCCCAACGTCCAAATGAGCCAGTATGGCTCGCCTGGCATTACCGCACAAATGCTACAACAGGGGCAAAGTCTACCCATGACAAATAGTGGTGACGTGAGCGGCATAAGTTCCAGCATCAATGCAATGGCTGCCATGGGTCAATTTGAACAGAACTTTAACAACGTTCCGCAAGATTTATGGAAAATGCCCATGACACTTGAATGGGATTGGGCAGATATGACCGGCGGCTTCTCGAGTTACGAGGACGGTATAAGCACGAATGGTGTTCTTCCAGACTTTGCAAACAACACTGGCCATGGAACGAGCGAATTCAACCAAAGTGCCATGAACGGCGGACGCCGATGACGGGACTTATGATCCGTTGTCACACAGACTTGCTTTTTCAAAAAATGTACAACATACACGATTACGTGGTTTAGGTTGGTGTCACAAGGGCACTTTATCATGGCCAAGGAGTTGCTTGTTGGATCCTTTCAGGGACTTTTGTCAGCATGCTGCATTTTCCAACTGCAAATAATACCACGGAAGCTCATGATCCTAGATTTTAAGTATCAGGTATACAGGTTTTGTAATATATACAACACATCTATTGTGCTCGGCGCTTGTCCGATGGTGGCTTATGCGCGCGCCCACGCCGAGTGGAAACTAACACCGGTGGTCTTCGTCGGCGCCAGACTAGGGCGCGCCACCAAGGCATAGTTGTAAGATCTTCAATGTACGGTTTCGTGGCTATGATGCTGCATATTTCTTGTTCCGATCTACATATACTTAATTGTTCATCTTGTCGCTCGCCTGTCTCCTCTATTTCAGTGCTGGCATGTTCGACTTGTCCTGCCTGCAACTACTACCACCGTGCCGTTTGATACAGCTTTCAGTGAATCACCATGCTCAACATTACAGCCTTATTGTCCACCCTGATCACGGCAAACCATATCTTGTCGTACCACAATGTGCTTGATTCGTTTGGTCATGTCAGTGTCCGTAACCCCAAGACAAACACGACCTTTTTCATCGCATTACAGCTCGGTATATAAACATTTCAATTTCTGTGATGCGTCTCTGCTTCCATACTTTTTGTATGCGATTACTTCTTCTCACACTTTCCCAGGCCCGGCGGTAGTCTCTGGTCCCTCAGACATTGGCGAGTATCTGATCTCCGATGGCTCGCCAGTAAACGGCACTGCAGGTGGCTACGCGGAGCGCTATATCCATAGCGAGATTCTCAAAAGATATCCGGATGTGAATGCCGTTGTACACAGCCACGCAGAGGACGTCCTTCCCTTCACCGTCATCGACACACCACTTGAGCCAGTCTACCACATGGCAGGTTTCCTTGGCGCCTCGGTTCCTATATTCGACATCGAGAGCGCGTACCAAGAAACCGATCCACGAGACTTACTCGTCAACAGCCCCAGATTAGGTGCGGCACTCGCACGAACTTTTGGCGTCAACGAAACCCAACCCACCAGTCCATCACACACTACGGTTCTGCAGCGCGGTCATGGTTTCGTCACTGTAGGAATGAGCATCGAGCAGGTCACGGATTTCGCCTACTATGCTGCCAGTAATGCTCGCGTTCAAACAAAGGCACTTTTATTGGCAAATGCTGCGCAGGGTGCCGGTGGTGTACATTACCTGAGCGGGCAGGAAAGAAAGGCTACGGCTGAAATGAATTCGTGGATTGTTTTCAAGCCGTGGAAGCAGTGGGTGCGCGAGGTGGAGAGGAGCGGGAGATTTGTAAATGAGTTGGGGACGCCACCTACGGGTGAAGCGTAAACTGCGAATTACATGTTTATGGCAATGATAGGGGTGTATTGATCATTTGTATATACCCAAGTTGATACAATCATGTTGGCAAATCCTAGAGTTCGTGATGCAAATCATGGTGTTGAGGTTTGGCCCACAACGCACGTGGCGCTAGCGTGCCGCAGCTGCATACAACGACGTCAACGCAGTTTCGCATCCCGGAATCTTGCGCCCAAATCTCCTTGCCTTTTATTTGTTTCGTCCCACCGCTTTCTCTGTGCTACGGCTTCAGGATACAATCTAGGAAGCCGTGCTCCTGAACACATACACACAGTTCCCGGCCCTCCACAGATAACGACTATCGGTGCACGCGACCACATACAGCACTAGCGGCGTGATCGGCTTGCGCGTGCCTAACTCAAGACCGCTTGTCGTCGGCGGTACCCATTTGTTCCCTCAGATCCTCTCTCCTGCCTCGCCCACGTCTTGCCAGCAATGCCGTCGCTCAAAATCTCCATTCCGGAGACGCACGAAGAGACTCCTGAGAACGGCAAGGCGTATACAGCCTACACCATCAAGATTGAGCACCCCTTTCCGCGCGCGGCAACCACCACATCCAAACGCTACTCTGACTTTTGCGCTCTGGACAGCGCACTCCGCTCAGAAGTCGGCGCTGCACCACCCACGGCGCTGCCCCCTAAATCATGGCTCGGCGGTTTCCTTGGCCTAGGCAACACCAACAGCTCGCCCGAAAACATTGAAAAGCGACGTGCAGGCCTCGAAGCCTACCTGCGCGCCATTGAGACAGCAGAGGACGGGCGGTGGCGCGTTTCCAAAGCGTACAAGACGTTTCTGGGGCTGGGCGATAAAGATACAAGCAACGGGAAGAAGGCTAGCAACCTGCCTGGATCGCAGTTTGGCAAGGACAGAGTGAGAGATAGTTCAGACTGGCTAGACAAGCACGCCGAGCTCAAGAGCAACCTACAAGACGCCCGGCGCTGGCTGACGAAGCGCGAACAAGCCACCGCCGCCACAGCGCAACACGAAGCCGCCGCAAACGCAAAGAAGAGCCTCGTCCGCGCGAGCACCCTCATCTCCGCCCTCGACGAAGGCCTCGCCCGCCTCAGCGGCCCCAGCACCGACGAATGGAGCGGCGAGAAACTCGGCCAAGGCGAACTCCGCAGACGAAGAGACGTAGTCAGCGGCCTCCGCAAAGAACGCGACGGCCTCGAATCCGTCCTCAACAGCATGGCCGTCAAAGCCGCAATGTCCGGCTCAGGCTCCTCATCCACCCCCTCCACCTCCTCCGCCGCAGTCACCGAGTCCCAAAAAGCAGGTCTCTTCAAAGGCGCCGCCTCCGCCAAACCCTCTGGCCGCCGCGTCCTCGGCGCCCCCGCACAGGAAACAGATCGAACCCGCGAACTAGACAACGAGGGTGTCCTGCAGCTCCAACAGCAAATCATCAAGGAGCAAGATGAGGATCTTGTGGATCTAACGACGATCGTGCGCCGTATGAAGGATATGGGCGTCCAGATTAATGCGGAGCTTGTAGAACAGAATGCTATGCTTGGCTTGTTTGAGGAGGATGTCCAGCGTGTTGATGGTAAGATTAAAATTGCGAAGAAGAGAATTGAGAAGATTAGGTAGTGGGGGGGTGGATGTTTACCGCATGCATAGTGGATTGTTTGCATTGTTTAGGGGAGGGGTCCGTCTGGATCATGCTTTTTGTCTCTTTGTTGAACATGGCTCTATCATCACATGTATGGAGAGTTGTTTTTTTGGGTTAGCCAATGGCGTTTTTTTTCGTTTCGAAAACGGGACATGAGAATATCTAGGTTAATGTAATGAATGATACCCCTCTTTTTTGGCATTGATAAACTATAAATGGTTGGGTACGAGGGACTTGAATGATATTTTTCAGACGGTTTGCAAGTTTAGTTGAACATACATGTGTGGAAATAGTTAAATCCAAAAAAAAACAAATACCAACACCATGAATATTAACGAGATTCGTTCATGAAATCAAAAAAGTATCATGTATACTCAAACTACCAAGGATATATACCCTCTCTCTTAGCATTCCTAATCAGTACCATCGCCCAACCTCAGGGAACTCATATTTCTTGACCGAACCTTTACAATATGATCTACGGCCTCCATCAAATACGGCACAAACTTTGCCGGATTTTCCGTGGCAGGGAAATGGCCCAGGTCAGGCATGGACTTGTGGACTGCACCCGGAATCTTGTCTGCCGTTTTTTGCGACATTTCAGGCGTGTTTGACCAGTCGTACTCGCCCGTCAGCATGTACACGGGGCAGCTGGCCGTGTCGATGGATGCGACGCGGGATCGGCCGTCCCAGCCGCCAAAGTAGAAGTCGAGGTCGCCATGGAAGATCTGGATAGAGATTAGATGGGTGTCAGATACCCAGGAAGCGGACTTTGGAATTTCCATACCCCGTAAGCTTGAGCACTGTATGTATGCCATATCAGTTGTTTATTTGCCTTGGGCGTAGTGGGAGCCATCATCTAACAAAGCGTAAGCTTGCATCTTTTTCTCTACTCAGATATACTCGTAACGCACGCCGTAAACCCACTCCGGGTTGAACAATGACTGATTTACGTATGGAGAGCGATCGTTCCATTGACGCTCCATGTTGAGATATTCGGAACTGCAGCTATTATCAGCTTGGGAAGTTTGCCATAGTCTGAATCTTTTGCTTACCCTTGCAGAGGAATAGTACCAATTGCACCGACTTCTCTGTGACGAATAGCAACTGCAAGGCAGACCTGACCGGCCATACTGGCACCGCAGATGATCGGCCTGCGCAGACCCAACTTCTTTACAAAAGCAGCAATGATGCCCACATAGCTGTCTTCGGTGTTTGTATGTGCCGAGGCATTCTTGGTCGGGAAGCTGCGTCCATGGCCGGGCAAGTCAAACGCAAACATTGTACACTTTTTACGCATCCGTATGTCGTTCATGACACCATGATACTGTCGACTGTCGCTGCCGGCGGTATGCAAAAAGATGATGTTTTGCTTGCCTTCGCCCGAGTATTCGTAAAAGACCTTGCTGTATCACCAAATTGCAATGTCAGTATGCCGTATATATATCGAGTTGCAAAGGAAACCTGCGTACCAGCGGCCCCAAACCGGAGCTTCCAGATATGTGTACTTCCCGGTAAGAAAATCATTGTCGATTTCAGCCTGCTCCTCCTCGGCGAGTGGACCGCAGTGGGCTTCGTGAATGAGTTCAAGGACGCGCCTCCAGACATGAATCCATTGTGCATAGGCCGTCTGGTCGCCCAGAACCTCGATGCCTTTTTGCTTAATGTTCATGCCAAACATGCCCCAGTAGCTCTGGTAGGGCGTGGCTGGGACCGGTTTGAAGTGCTGCTCCCATTGCTCAGGAAGTGCAGAAAGGGTGAATAGGGCGTCCTTGGAAGAGCCATTGCTGACTTTTACGTTGCCGTTGGTAACAGTGACGAGGAGCGTGTTGTCGGAGGCACTTGACTTGATGCCAAACGTCACTGGCTTGTCAATGGCATCTGAAGTGACAAAAGATTTCAGTTGGCTGTCGGATTCAAGGAGCTTGGGAAGCGCGTCTGAAGTTCCCTTCAAAGCTGAAATCAGGTCAGACCAGTCAGCCATGGTGGTTCACGAGATATAATGAAGTCGCTATAAATTCCCGGGACAAACGGAGCAGAAAAGGAGGACAGATGAGGTACAAAGTGACAGCGCCCTCTGGGTTTATAACAACGCGTGAATCCTAGCATCACCCGCGCGGAGCTAGCTAGCTACAGAGCTATGGGGAGGGGTAGCCTGCAATGCGGGGTCGGAGATGCACACGTGGGTGTATATCTCGACTTCGCTCGTCATCGTCGCTGGCCCTGACCGGAAACGGACGACTGACTGGTGCCGCGTGTTTTGATGGGCGAGGCGGACAATGGTGGATCCTCTAGCGCAACCGGGTCGAGATGAAGAGAGGTAGATAGCACTGATACGGCGGTGCTAAGCTCAACTCATCTCAGCGGACTTGATCCCCCGCCTCAACCGCACAGCGCCTATCGCCCACCTTGTTTCAACTCACCAGGACAAACGCAGCACCAAGCATTGAAATTGCACACCGAGTAGAGAAACATGAAAAGAAGTGAGTATTACGATACACCTGGTACGGGTGTGCGAGGCGCCGACTATACATGAGAAAAAAAAAGAGATGGCGCTTGTTGTTGCGTCTGGTGAATTGCAAGGAATACGTGATTCGCATGTGCTACCGTCGACTGTCCACTCCCCATGCACCGACATCTTATGCGACTCATAACCTCATTTGAAAAAGTAGGAAGTAAACCCCCCAGAAAGTGGTATCCTCGCTCGCGCTTCCAAATGCAAACATGACTTTCCCATATCAGAGCGTGTTCTTGTCCAGATATGCGGGAGACTCGGCAGACAGAGGAGATGACATGGATTCTAAAGAGTCGGTAGGCGTGAACAATGCAACAGATGCCGTGGATCCTGCAGATGCATAAGATGAAGCAGACAATGGAGATCCCGTGAGCACGGCGACTCTCAGCACTCCGCCGCCTTGTCGAGATCCAGTCGCGTCTGCAGGGTCGGCACCTTTGGCGGGTCTATTGACTTTGGCAGCTCCAGTAGCCCCAGTGGAGCCGCACCCCCCAGACGCCTCCAACAACGCTTTAGCATCCAATATGACCTGTCTGAGTTCCTTCCGCATCTTGTCCGGGGCATCAGGAGGACCACCGCCCGGCTAAAACGTCTCCTCCTCGACACCCTCAGCCTCGGGTGGAATCTCAAAGCCCTCCTCAGTTGAGTAGAGGATTGTCTGAATTTGCTTAAGCAGACCCTCGTCCTTCTCGAGCTCGGGGTCGGCCTCCATTGCTTGTTGGATCAAGAGTTCGATATCGCGAAGCTTGCTGAAGTAGAAGTCGCGCTCGCGCTCAAGGCCGGTAACGGTCTCCTTGAGTGCCGTATTCTCCTCGCGCAGCGCAGCAGAGGCAGCTCCTCCTCCAGATGCGAGAGGAGTACGTGTTCGGGGAGCGGCAGTGTTACTGGCAGCCGGTGCTCTTCGGGCGGTGGTGGCAGCGCGAGACGCGGGGGCGGCACCAGTGGAAACACCGCCTTGGCCCTTGCGGCGAGCAACGGGATCGTACTCGTGACCGGGGAAGTGCTGGTCCCAGTATTGCTTGACAAACTGGAGGAATTCGAGGTTGTCCTGCATCTTGCACTTGACCAGTGACTCGACGCGGATGGGCTTGTCGATCTGGTGCTTGGCGAACGTGTCTGGCTTGGTTAGCCATGGCAAAGACAGCGAGCAATCCATCATCTGTGGGGGAGAGATGGCATGATGCAGGTGGATGACATACTTTGTAATATCTTGAAGTTTTGCAGATATGCATACTCGGTATTGGCGTTGAACTTGACTCGGCTCATGGGCACATCATCTGCACACTGTTAGGATTAACGGCACTCCCACGACAGGCAAATTGGGATCCATACAGAATATACTGTCGAAGACCTGGCATAGTGCTGCTCTGTACCCAAAAATCAGTATATGCGCTTCCAAGTGTCCCGTCCCGAGGCCGTGGCGGCTCGATGCATCGCGAGCAGGAGACGTACCCGGTACCGCATTGTTCGACCTTTGTGATGTTGAGCTGGAGAAGGTTGTTCAACCAAGCGACAAGTTCTTGTCTGCGCGCGTGTTTCTGTCAGTTTGTGTTTGTCGTATGGGGCGACGTGCCCCCCAAAGGGTGACGAGTGTCTGGTAGGAGCCTGAACCCCACTTGGACAGGCGTACCTTGATTCTCCCATGGCGAATATCTAAGTATGGTTGTCGGAGACAATGTTGTTGGATGATCGGCGATGGGCTAAGAGCATGCGAGGGTAAGGGGTGTGGAGGCTTGGGGATGGATAGATGGTCGCCGTCGAGATTGCTGTTATTTGTTGATGCGCCCTCGCTCATCGGCCGCTCGACATTTTGGGCTGCTGCCCCACGACCCTTTTAGCGCCCTGTCGGTGCGTCTGGTCACGTGACTTCCCTTTCACTTTTGCTTCTCCATGCACGCTCGCAATCACGCACTTCTCTCAAAACTCACATGTGCAATACTGCCGGAATGCCTTCTTTGATGCTATTTGTCGTGCAAACTTGTAGTGCCATGTCTAGAGAATACCTATATTCTATATGTATCTGTGTACATTGCCATTGATCGCCAGTTCCGCTTGGATCACCTCCGTCTCGTGCACAGTATACTCTGCAAATTTGCTCCTCACCGTCTCTTAGTCGCCAGCCTTGGCATCCCCTGGATGGTTTGGGTCGACAGCTTCCCTTAGCTTAGAGTTTACGTCGAGCGATGTATACTGGCCTACCACCCAGAGAAAGCTCTTGATTTGGTTGAGACCCTATATCTAAGCAACAATCGCATGGTTGAGCCCTTGAACCCTAGAGTTGTAGTTTTCAGACTCAATAGCAATGATCGGTGCCGCCTATCGATACTTGAGCCTAGCTCTCTGCATGCACTCGGTCATGTCCACTGTCCGTACGACAGTTTTCGTCTTGGGACTCCAAGGGGGCATGGTGTTTACTAGCTTAGCAAATGCAGCGATAATGTCTACGACATCCTTTTTCTGTTGTACATCAGTCTCCAAATGTATGGTGATCACTACGGCTGACATTGCCTGCAACCACATAGTCGGCTGATTCTTGTTGACCATGCCCAGCGCCGAAAACCTTCAAGGGGTCTAGCTGTTGCTGTCGTAGCCCCAGGGCCTGTGGTTATTTTCATCCCAATACTCCCGACCAGATTTACACTCGTTCATTCATGGGGCCGAATACACTGCCAGAGCTTGCTGGGTCCACAGATCATTTTCGTGATGCTGTCACCAAAGAGCATTCCAAGTACACCGGATTATACCGCCCTCGGCTAGGGCCGGCAGGACTGTGACGACATTGTCAAGAAATGAGAAACGCCAAAGGTGCCAAGTCAGCAGCTCCAGACGCGTCGCGCAGAGGTAAGCCCGGAATAGAACGCTGGAGAGGTTGCCTCGGGGCAGACTGGAACCAAAAACAAAACGGCAATTGCTTTGTACTCTAGACTGAGTCGGCGTTGGTCACGTTGGGTCAAAGTCTAAATTTTGCCGGATGGATAGCATGATGTCGTCGGCTGAATAAACAAAACCTGTAAGGAGAACGGAACGTTTTGGAATGCGTCTGATGGGATCGGGAGAAGAATGCGGTTCTTGTAAGTAGAATGCGATTGGTAGCAGTAGCGTGTAGTGTCACCGAGCGCGATAGGAATGGCCGACGCGAGGTTAAGTGTTCGCGTTATTTGCCGTCATCTTGGAAGAATGTTAGCGGTTGAGGAGACGATCCGGTTTCCGCGGGGTATTCGGCACCGTGGATTGTTTTTATGCAATGATTTATACCTCATGGCATTGTGCGTTCCCTGCAGCACCGCCATACGAAAAGTTAATTTCGGACGAATCTCTGCCACGACTCATGGCTAGCCCTGCAGCTGCGGTAAACGTGTTAGTAACCAGCACATCCTAGTGGGCGTTGTTTCTAGACTTGGGCAGAAGCAAGTTGGCGAAGAAAAAGGAAATTGGGAAGAAGAGAACTAATTACGAGAGTATGTGTGGAATGATCGAAGTGATTGACCATACTACTAGGATGCTGGTATGCATGTAAACATGCAAACTTAGTCTAGTAACATTCTTCCCGGGAGGAAGCCAAAGGCGAATTATTCAAGAAAGCAAGAGGCAAGAGAGGATTAGTCTGCGGACGTGGAGATGGACACTTACTTGGTTAACTACATGCAGAGAGATGTAGGTTTTCTAGACGAGGCAGGTGGTCAGGTCAAATGAGATGAGCTATAGTTCCAAGGTCGTTGGACTAGTATGTAGACAACGGCTAGGATACCGGCACCAACAGTAATAATTCTAGGGCTGACCGAGAAAGGGCCGTGGATCATCTCAGCTGAGGCGGTGCAGCGCCCAGTTGTCGATCCGGATGAAGTTCATAGCCGCAAAAGGGCCGTTTTCTTGGCCAAGGTTGGAATGTACATGCGGAAATGTGTACTTAGATGTTGGTACCACAACCATTGATAAGGGGAGTGTTTGCGAGAAGAGAAGACCGTTGAAGCAGTGACTTGTGCGCAAAAGCATGTCTACGTGCCGAAACGTTTCCCGCATTCATGGTGGAGTCGAGTGCAGCGAGCAGCTGCAGGGTGACGCGGCTCGAGAATCAGGATGGGCTTTTTACATGCAGATGGTAGTGGCAAGCTCAGCGTGTGTATAGTTACACTTGGTTGGGTCGATGTTGAGAGATAGGCCATGGGCCAGGGATGCCGGGATGCCGATGGTGTTGAAAGGGGAAGCGAACTTGGTGGTACCGATTGAGGTAGCCGTTGGCAGGCACCCACCGGAGAAGATCCGACGCCAGATGCAACGGGGGAAGGGTTGGGGATAAAAAAGCAAGCTATTACTACAGCAAAAGGCGAGCTGGTAACGGTGCGGGAGTGTAAGACAACGGGGGGATGGTAGTACTACGGAGTTGAGACAGTTGGAGGCAGGAGGAGAGTGGCAGCCCTTGGCACGGACCATAAACACCAAGAAGAGACGGCGGCGGCAGCCAGCGGCAGGTAGCGTGGAGCGTATGCGCCTATATTGGGACGGTGAGACTATCGATCGTGACGACGATGGCAATGATGGTGATGATGATGATGATGATGATGATGATGATGGCGGTGGTGTTTTTGAGGATGACGGTGATGCAAGAACGCGCGGAGTCGATGATAAGAGAGGCGCAGCATCGCCGGCGGACTGTGGACGAGACGGCACCAAGGCCAAGACGGCAGGTTTTTGCTGTCTGGCTTCGTAGTCATCCATCAGTCAGCCCCCCCGTCCTCTCTCTCCGCTCAGTCCGCCCAGCCCAGCCCAGCCAGGCCCAACCCTAAACCATCCCACGCCTCCTCGCTTCGCGCTGCTTCGGGCGTTTTTCTTCTGCCAATTGTCCAAAACACCCGCCGTCCCATTGGCCAGCCACGAATTGCTTACTTGTTTGGCCCTGCACGCGAGCCACCGCCATGCGGCAGGGCCAAGTCGCATGGTTTCTTTGACATGACGCGTACCGCCGACACGCTGCGAGTTGTCTTGTTTTCTCTCACCTCTACTTACACAGCCTGAGCACAAGCTCACGGCTCTCCGCAAAGCCGCCGTCCCCGGCCTGTATCCTCGAATCACAGCCGGCCATGCGTACATCACCCGGAGCCTGCCCTATACCAAACCGCCCGAACACAGGGTGCAGAGCCTGAGAGCACATGCGTAGCCCCATTCTTTTGTCAGCACTCCCTCTTGGGATCTCTTCGTGTCCCAAATAGCCAGTAATCTCATCAGTGATTATAAGCTCTTGGTTCACGCCCTCCAAAGTCACTACAAGACGATACATCTCTTACTCACTGTACACCTACTCCACCCCCTCGGACCGCCCCCCTCTAATTGCTTCTTCACATTCAATTGCATCCTTTGAGATCATGAGAGGCTTTTCAAGAGCATCAGCATTTGGCCTCACGGCATTGGGTTCGTACTTACTTGCCCATCACCATTCACCTCTACAATTAGACTAACCCGCCTCAGCCTCTCTTGTCTCTGCTCAAGTCGCAAGCGTCTGCCCATCCACAGGAGTTTGCTACAAGCTGAACATTCCCCAAAACACAGCTTCTTCTGGCTCGGGAGACATCTTCTTCCAGATCCAAGCACCCAGCAACTATGAGTGGGTTGCACTTGGTCAGGGAAGCGGCATGGCCAACTCTAACATGTTCGTTGTCTACACATCTGCAAGTGGAAACAACGTCACTCTCTCACCCCGACACACCACCAGCTATTCACCTCCAACCTTCAACTCGGATGCCCAAGTCACATTACTCGAGGGCTCTGGTGTATCAAATGGCGTCATGACTGCCAACGTCAAGTGTAAGTCGCAATATTAGAATATGCTCAAACCAAACCAAAGTGTCTTCTTTACTAACAGTAAATACAGGCTCAAACTGCAACAGCTGGTCAGGAGGTACCATGGACTTCAAGTCCGGAAGTGGCAACTGGATCTACGCCTTCCAGAACTCCGGCGGACCCCTGAACATCGACGACACTTCAGCCCAGATTAACCAGCACTCCGGCCACAGCGCCTTCAACTGGGACTTTGCTCAAGCCAAGGGTGGTTCCAGCGTCAACCCCCTCATCGCTACCACCTCAACTGGCACCACCCCCAGCAATGGCAATGGCAATGGCAATGGCAACACCAACTCCGGCATCACAACCATCCGCCCCAGCGGCGCTGTCACCAACCGCCGCGAAAAGCTCATTGCCCACGGCGTCCTCTCTTCCCTTGCGTTTGTCATCTTTTTCCCTACCGGCGGTATCGCCATTCGCCTCGTCTCCATGACCGGCATGGTCTGGATCCACGCCGCATTCCAGATCTTTGGCTACATGACCTATATTGCCGGCGCCGGTCTTGGCATCCACCTCGCCTGCGGCCTCAAGCGGACCGGACACTACCATGCCATCATCGGTATGATTCTCCTTGGTGTTCTCTTCTTCATGCCTATCCTCGGATACATGCACCACCTTTTCTTCAAGAAGGTCCAGAACCGCACCATCTGGTCGCACGCTCACATCTGGGTCGGTCGTATCTTCATCACTCTCGGCATACTCAACGGCGGCTTTGGACTCAAACTCGCTGACTGCTCCAACTTGAGCTCCCGCGCTGGTCAAATCGTCTACGGTATTGTTGCTGGTCTTATCTGGTTCGCATGGGTCGGTGCCATTGTCATTGGCGAGAAGAAGAGAAGCAGCTCACTTAGCCAGTCTGGATCCAAGCTCGCCGACGAGCGTGCCAACTCGGATGGCACTGCTGTTGATGTCAATGGACACTATGGCCACAAGCAGCAACAGTAGAAGATGGATTAGTTAATCACTGTCAAAGTACAGCATGCGTTGAGAACTTGATACGATATGGGAGTGTTTAATTGGCGTAAATGGCAACAATGTATAGAGTGCTTATAGTACAAGATTAATCTTGACAATCTTGACTTTTAGAGTGTTTGTCTACATGAGTGATGCTATGAAACTTATCAACTACTACTACTAACTCGAGACATTCAATTCTTCACTGTACCACTATCTACCATCTTTTTTCACTTCCTCCTCAACAACTTCAAATGACTATAGATCATATACAGTTAAAAACTTGTTTACACAACTATCTCTGCTGGACACATGTTTTGTCGCCGAGAAACGAAAATGATTTCACAACTTCCCCTTGTATTATCTATCTTTGCAACCAAGGATATGCCTGATAATATCTAAATGGAAAAACAGCGGAGAGGGGTTTGTACCTTGATTTTCGAGTCGCCCAATCCCCCCCCCTTTTTCCCCCATCAGCAACAAGCTCATTTCCAAGCCCCAAAATCACTTTAGTCCCAAGACTTTCTCATATAAACCAACCCACCCTTGACCCAACATCTGCTCGCCTCAATTCACCCTCCCCGCCGATTCCCCCCAAAACCACCCAGAACCTTGCTCGCAGCGGTACTAACCTTGAGCACATCCCTGTACGTCAAGCTAATCCTCACGCCCCTGGTACTGACACCGCCGGAAGTCTTGAGCGGCGCCGTATCACCCAGCAAATGCCAATTCGCCACGCTGGCGGCATGCAAGTCGTCGTCTGTTTCACGCTCCGCAATGCCATGCATGACATGCCGGTATGCAGAGCCCGAGGTGACGAGCAGGGATCGCGGTTCCTGGTAGATGCGGGTCGGAAGAGTAATCCTGGCCGGGGGAGTGGGGGAGTGGCTCTTGGCTTCGTCATGACTTGCCTGGGCGTGATTACTCGTGTTTACGTCGTCGTTGTCGTCCTCTTCGGCTGCCGAGGCGGCGGCGGAGGAGGAGGAGGAGGACGAGGGCTTGGGTAGAATGTCCAGACAGAGAGGGGCGCCGAGACTGACGGTTGCGACTACGGGTGCGTACGCGTCGCCGTCTTCGTGCGGCATGATGCCTTGGCCGGGCTTGTACTCGTTGACCAGTACATGGTTTGGCTGCCGATGAGGAGTGTCATCGAAGATGCCCAGATCTTTGAAGTGGTCCACTATCGGCGTCGTCAGGTAGACGGGCAACGGAGAGGCCAGTAGCGTGTTGTTTTTAGTCAGTGTAGACGGAACCGCTTGGAGGCGACGGTGAGACAGGTACGTCCATCGCTGAGCTGGGATCTGAACACTAGTCAGATCTACAGATTTGTTGATCATATCGGGTCATGGGCATGCAGGAGAAAAGTGGACTTTGGGGGGTGGGTACGTATGTTTGCGGGGTAATGATAATGCCAATTGATGTCATCACTGCATTCTCACCAGCTCGCAGTAAATGTCTCGGAGTTTGCGGAGACTGACCTTTTGTAGAATCGACGTTTCCTCTTCAACACTAATGAAGTTGGAGATGTAGTAAAAGTCCGGCGGGAGACCAGCAATGCGGAAAGCCTCTAGGTCCTGCTTTGCATTGGAATATTCCGAGCCTGTCATTTTGAGTGAACTAGCCTTGAGCAGTTAGTGGGGCGGAAGTCTTGGTATGGAATTCCAAGGTTGCTGGTTGACTAGAAGACGCGTAGACGAGGTCCATAGTCGGCATGTATCGCACCACTACCGTAACTTCACTAGTCCATCACGTGATTTATACAACAGGGCTGGTCTCCAAATCATGGTATAATCAGGCTAGACAGCTTATAAAAATAATCCAAACCTGTAGTCTATTGTTGGAATCGAAAATTGCACCCGTGCAATCAACCCACTAGCGGCTCAAGCTCGCAGTCATCTTCGTTGCTTGCGCCTTAAATCTAAATCATCTAAACTCCAAGCAATGCATCCAGTTAATAGTAATGAAGACCCAAGAACTCCTTGGGCAAAAAACCTACAATCATATGTGCGAAAATTCCAACATGTACTTGATCGAGCCAGCAACCGGGCCCGATCGGTTGTGTTCTCAAATCAACCGCATTGCGTACCTCAAAACAATGAACTCAAACATACCCTTCACATCACAGTGCAACCACCAGGCCCACTTCGTGCACGCCGGCGACGGCCGATGCCTGTCGCACCTGCGCCTTCTTCTTCATCAGCATGCATCATCTGCGCCTCTCGCGCTCGCCTCCGCCGTCGCCTCGCTCCCGCACCGCCAACACCAGCTTCTTCATTCATCATCATCCAATCGGCCCACTTACGTTCCAGACGTGCAGCGGCAGCAAAGTCACCTCGCAAGACGCGCTTGGTGTGTTCTTCAACAGTTGGTTGCCAGTTGTGGAAGCACTTGAGCTTGATAATCTCACGTGGATACGTCGGGGTTTTGGAAGCGGACCGGGAGGTAGGACGGGTGATTTCTGCGTTTCGGGAAAGGACTTCGCGAACACCAGTCCAGGTGACGTTGGAACAATCATAGGCCTCAATGCGAAGACCTACTTCGGGGCGCTCAGAATGTGCAAGGCCACGACCGCTCTTGTTGCGATTGTGCAATCCAGAGGCAGCTTCGGCCAAGACAAGATCAGAAATGCGTGTGTTGTCCATCTCCAATGAAGCAAGTCGGGGACACGCCTTGAGAACGGGGAGCATACCGGAATCACCTAGGTTCTCGCAATATGAAATGCACAGATGCTTCAAATGCGATGCGCATGGGGACTCAGCAAGTGTCTTCAGGACTTCATTCGTCAGCGTGTCAATCTCCTCGATATCCAGGTGGGTGAGAACAGGGAGAGTGGGCAGTAAGCTTTGCAAGCCATCATCGGTCAATCCTCCACACTTGGAGACTTGAAGACCCTCTAGGAATGGGACGTTGTTGACCAAGGTCTTTAGGCCAGTATCGGTGATGCTGCGGCAGCGCGTAAGGTTCAAGTGCTTGAGTTTCCTAGGCGGGACAATTGGTCGGTCAGTGAGGATGTCAATCTCTTCGTCCACACCCTCAATCAAAGCAGCCAGTGATTCGTCACTAAGGCTATCACAGTTCTTGAGGTCAAGTCTTTCAAGTGTGTTCCGCTTGAACAGCTCGGCCATGAGATCGACATCATCCCAGCCTCTTACTTCGCCAGCCCTGATATCTCGTAGTTTCGGACATCCTTCGACTACCTTCTTGAGTCCTCGGTTATCGATGTTGTTGCACCATGAGATATTGAGAACCTCGACCTTGGGACAGTGTCCGCCGAGAATCTTCATGGCTGCATTCGTCGCGCCTGCAAGGCCAGATAGATTTACGTGTACGAGACGGCTATTCTGAAGTAAGAAACAGTGAATCGACGCGCGGTCAATTCGACAGCCTTGAAGTGAAAAGTTCTCCAAGTTCTGGCAAGACTCAATGAAGCCGTCTTTGCCCCAATGTTCCCTCAGCTGGACACAGCCCCGCAGATTCAAGTCCTTGACAAACGGGCCAGCCGAAGTGATGATATTGACCAGAGCATTGGCTGAAATGTCGCGGTAAAACTTGGTAGTATCAAGGTCACTCCAGAGCTGACCGTCAAAACACATGGTGTACCATGATTTACAGACACGCGAACAGCGCACAACCTCCTTTGGCTCCAGGTATCGAAGAATCTGTATGCGAATCTCTGCGGGCATTTGTTGCCAAAAGTTGAAGTTGGCCCGTTTTTGTACCTTGCGGACGTCGCGCGAGAAATAATCGCTCTCCGCCTCGAGCCCATCTCTGGTAAAGGGCCGGCGGGAGGAAGGCAGGGGGACCGACAACGGGGTCTCGGGCGTCTTCATGCGTAGACGGGTTCTCTCGTCCCAGAATGGCGTGCCAGGAGGGCTGTTGGCGACCGAGGTGGGAGCGGTTGAAAAGCCGTTGGATAGCTCGGACGAGTACGAGCTGCCAAACGAGGTACCATAGGGCGAGCCTGGGGAGGCCAGGGAGACACAGGACATTGAAGCCTTGCCTCCGCTTCTCAGGCTCTGCGAGCGGGCTCTACCAAAGCCAGCGAGGCTTGGAGAGGAGCCCATGCGGTGTAGTCCATTGAGCAGACGCTGCCTCCCTTTCAGCTTGGGCTGCTCCATGGCCATGGGTTCCGTGGGAGGGATGCTGGGTATTGGCTGTATGTCGTTGTGGTCGACGACGACTGCATCGATAGAGACTGGGTCCATGGCGGCGCGTCAACAAGGGTATACACGCTGGCCTAGGAGGAGAGGCTTTTGGGGAAAAGGGAAAAAATAGGAGCGAGCTGAAGCCGGCGCGGTGGTTGGGCAGGCTGGGCTGTTTTTGATGGGCGCGGATGGCGGCATGCTGACTGGGGGGAGACTGGAAAGGGTCCCGCCACCGTCTAGAAAGGCGGGGGAAGCTGGCCCGTGTATGGCGGGCGTGTCTTATCCGGCTTATCGCAGGTGCACGTCCACCGACCTGTGAGCCGCCCCAGGCCCGATTGGCCCAGTCCACGTGCACAGCCCACATGCCACCAGTGCACCTCCGATGGGGGGCATTTGGTCGCTTGACCCCCCCAACCCACCGTCGCGTGAGCACAAGATGGCCTTGATGATTCCCATGGCTATGCCATATCCTGGGAGACTTCTCTCTCTATTCCAGTTTGATCCGAGGCCGCGGTTCCCATCTGTCCACCATCCAATCACTCCTCGGCCCTGCGGATGGTAGCGTTATGCAGGGTCTCTCCTCCTCTTGGCAACCAGGCCAAGTAGAGTAGATTATGTCTCTGCAGCCGCACGATGCGTGGTTTTATGCATCTGGACGAATAGAGGCGTCTTGGTTCGTAGGATACAACGGCTTGTTTCTTGTGGGATGCCGGAATGCACATCTACTACTTACTACATACATACACTGGTCAAACCAACTAAACCCTACGCTGCACCCATCTTCTCCTTCAACTGCGCCAAAAACCTGCTATGTGTGCCTCGCCAGTTATCCTCGCATTTCCCTTTGACCGTGTTCACCAGCATCCGGTTCGCCTTGATCTCCACATCCTCGACTAAGCTCCACTCTCCCTCTTCCTCATTGGCTCCTTTGTCCCCCTCTCCTAAACTCTCCGTCTTCAAGCACCTCCACGTAGTCTTCTGCGTCAGTCCCAATGGTGCCTTGATGAGCCATAGTATTCCATCGTCCAGGTCTGTCATATGTGCTTCAAATGTCACTTTTGTATCCCACAGCCCAGCTGGGAGCGCATTCATATGGTCCGTGATCTTGTATATTTTAGCCTCCGGTGTAGCCGGGTCTGACGGCAGGGTCTCGTGCGAGGCATATTCGGGGTCGAGGCGAATGAGCAGTTCGTGGTCGTGAAGCTGTTCCACAGCTTGTGCATAGCTTATTGAGCGCGGGAGATGTGTCACGTTGCGAAGCGTCGCCGTAGTATTTAGAGCTGAACTCGTAAGCACAGTCACAACGCCGTGTGAGCAGACAACTTACAAAACATGGTAGAGAGGTTTTTAAGGGGTATCCTAGATGTGCAAGATGTATTTGTTGAAAGTGGTTTCGTAGGCGGGTCTAAGTAATGTGGCTGTTCTACGTATGCCTCGGAGACGAGTTCAGCTGTGCACCAGGCTAGTTGCTGGTCTTATCTGTCGAGAATTGCTTATGAGCTCGTGAAAATAAATACACGGAGGCAAGTCCGACACTTGTTAGACACAGTCAGGTTGGGCCGTGTTGATGCTTCAATGGTTTCATGGGCAACAAGCGACCTGTCTCGACATGTCCCGACGGCAATACTGCAACACTCCCAAGATGACATCAGCATGCACTCGAAACACGCATCGTATACAAGGACACTGAGCGGCCACTGCAGAGGGCCGTGAGATTTCGGGGTCTGCTAAGCTTTACAAGCTTTACAGGCTTTTCACCACCAGTCTGCCACATGGAGCGTTGCTGCTCGGAGCAGCGGGTTGCGTTGAACGCGACCGGAGCCCGCGGGGAAATGGTGCATAGTACACTGACGTCGCGCGTCAGGCCTACCAAACTCGACAATCATGATAGGAAGAACACAAAAACTACAAATCAAGCCAACGTTCTTCGAAAAAAGAAAGATCTACATTCTGCCCTTCTACACACACACACACATTTCACAATATGGATAATTTGCTCACACAAAAGACGCCTACAGGCATGGTGGTTGCTCAGACTGTAGGTATTACAGCAAGCATGTTTTTATTCGGTAAACTACCCCTCCCCTGGGTATATATCCCATGTTGGCATGATAAATCTTAGAAATAATGAGACTAAGGCAAAGTACAGGAAGTAACACATGCCTCTCCGTTGTGGGTATACACACGGCCATGGAAGCGCCTGCTCCCCTTGCCGTCAAGCAATGGTACTCCATCTTTACCCGAGGCGGAGCAATTGCCCGCCCACTGGCTATCCTTTCGGCTCTGGCAACGGGATATGTTGCTTACAACCGTGCGTTACGTGGATCTTATATCCGTAGTACCTAGATCGACTGACACAGTTCAATAGAAGACCCCAGCTCGACGGCTTTCCGTCTGAACCTTGCTTCTACCATTCTTCTTCCCAGTATTGTACCTTTTACACTCCTCGTCATTGCGCCCACAAATGCCAAGCTCATGGCTAAGAAAGAAAAGCTTGAATCCGCCTCGCTGGAGGACAAAGCTGTCGAGGCAAATGTTGCCCAAGGCGAGACGGTGCATGAGCTGATGGATCGGTGGGCCACGCTCAACATGGCGAGAACTCTGCTGGTAGGCGTGGGTGCTGTATGTACTGTGCTTGCAGCAGCGAGCAAGAGAGAAGTCGTGAGATTTGGGGGCATGGCCATCAAGAGCGGAGCAAACAGGTTATGAGAAGTTGAGTAAAAGCAGACAAATGTCAAAACTTGAATGATTGGGATATGAGTTCTGGAAGTTAATCGAATTCATGTGTACATGGATATTCCCTTGTACATCTCATAAGCCGTATACAAACGTAATTCTATCGTCGCCCTCTCGAGTAGGTCTTGCAGCTCGCTCAAGCCAACCTGTAAGCCAGTTGAGCAGTCTGATCGATTTGGTCATAGCCGCGGCTCTTTGAAGCCACTGACCCTGTTGTGGTGACGGTCCTCTGCCTTCAAGCCTCTCCAATTCGATCTCATCTTCGGTCCACTCGCGCAGAATCATACTGCGTGCCTTATTTTCCCTTTTGAGTCTTATGTAAAACAATACATAACCCGTGGCGGAGAGTGATACGCAAAATAGTGTCCACCAAAGAGGTACAATGTAACCGTCATCAGCATACTTTGGCTTGAAGAGAAGAGCCGAGATGACACCAGCCATATTCCCCCAGCCATTGATACCGAGGAGCATTGCACGTTTGCCCGGCGAAGGAGTATTACCAGATATCCAGGCAACGGTGAGCGGAGATGCTACGTAAGTACCCGAGAGGAGAATGACAAGGGCCACATAGCGAGGTATCACCCATGAAATCGGGAACAGTACGACCAAAACTAGTCCCAAAGCCATGATGAACAGGCCAGCAAGGACCGGCTTGAGCCGTATGCGCTGCTTATCGCTGTATGTAGCAAACAAGTAGAGCGTGACGGCGCCGCAGAAATGGGGTGGTACAGTAAGCAGATTGACCAAGGCAGGATCCTTGTTTTCTGTCAACGGAGCGAGGACCAATGGAAGGAAGATAGAAAAGGCATAGACTGGAACAGCAGCAAGAATGTTGCATACCAGAATGTGCCAGATCTTGGTGTTGAAGATTGCAGATACTATATCTTGGGGCGTGAGTCCACGGTCGTCAATGAGCTGCTTTGCCTGCGCATTTGCCGCAGCCGAGCGTTTTGATGGCTGTAAAAGATCACGAGCTTCGTCGTCGTGTCCTTCCTCGGGATCCAAATCATCTTTGCGTGTTTCATCTGACGAATTTTGTATATCCCTGTCCTGAATAACGCGTGTGCAGGCGTACTTGCGTTCCTCGGGTGCAAGAAACCAGGCCGTGTCTGCGCTATGCGGTAACCAAAAGTACCCAGCAATAGCGACAACTACGGTGAGGCATCCTTCCAAGAGAAAGAGTACCTGCCATGGCTTATATCCCGTCTGGCGGTTGGCTCCAAACTGCGAGAATACCAGGTAGCTTAGCAGCCCTCCAAGAGCACCACCCACGGCTGCCTGACCGTAGAAGAACGACAAGCGTCTCCCGAACTCGAAGCGCGTGTAGAAGAGAGACAGATAGGTAACGGTAACGGGATAGAAGCCGGCTAGGTACAATGTCAGCTCCTAGTGCTTGCAGCGCGCACAGGATGGAATGAGCCCACGTACCTTCGAGGGCACCTATGAGTATGCGCAAAGTGTATAGCTGCCACTTGTGTCGTATCCAAGCATGCAGGGCAGTAGAAACGCCCCATGCAAGCATGCATGACGGTACCCAAAGTACCATACCAAATCTCCTTCCCAGGGCGGCGCCAAGCGGCTGGAGACTGACAAAGAAGGCGAAGAAGAGGGCGACGGCCGTGTTCAGGACATCCTTGTTCAGTCCGACATCTTCGGTGAAGTGGGCAGACTCTGCATTTCCTATCTAGTTGAATATCAGTCGGTGTTGTCGCAGTGGTCGTGTACATGTATGGGAGCATACGTTCGTCTTGTCGAGCGCGTTGAACAGGAAGAAGAGGGCCAAAAAGGGAAGCAGGAGAAAATCAAGCTTGAGGAGGGTTCTCTTGTGTAGACGCGACTCTATCACGGGCTGGTCGTCTTGTAGCTCATCCGTCGACATTGCGCTGGCTGCCGCTCGTGAAGCAGGAGCTTCGGTGAGCTCGTACGCCTCGACGTCGGACATTCTGTCGGCTGCCAAGATGAGAACCACGCGGACACATCACAAGGCTGACAGCATCGGTGAAGGTCCATACAACCTGTAACAAGAAGATAAGCAGAGAGTTGAGCCATGTTGAACTTGCGGCTCAAGGCCATAAGACGGCACATCTAGACAGCCAAGGGCGGTTTTATTGCCGGCACTGGACCCTGAGGGCTGGCATGACGTTGTCGATTGGGGGTGTGCCATTCAGCCCCCTCTCGTCCAACGGAAACACTCGGATACCTACCGACAGCATGCAGTCAGGTATTGGTGGTGATAGCAGACCCCTGCACTTGTACCGCTATCACTCTTTCGGCGGTTCGACATTTATCAACACCGTCTCGGCCTTTTGGTTTGGAGCGAAGGTGTGGTGGATGTGCTGAGAGTAAGGCCCAACAAGGGAAGGCGCCCCACTGTTATCGATAAATACATGTCTTCTCCATGCCAACATTGTACCTGCATGTTACTACTCTAGGCTCAACCTATTTGCACCATGCGACATGTGATCTTTGCTCTCATGAGACTATTATCTCGTTTAGCAGGTCTTGGACCACATACACGATGGACATCACAAGTGAGCCAAGTCACCCTGTTCTCTCGTCTCGTCCTTGGGCTATTATACATTTAGATAGCACGTTATCACGCTCTTTGGTCGCATGCAGCGGGTAACACTGATTTTTGTCATTCTGTTTTGGCAAAATAATATGATTGGTCGGTAAGTATGCCAGATAGAAATGCCGTCACTCTTCGTGCAATGCCATTGATTTGTCTACGAGCATATTCCCGCTACTGGTACATGGACATCCTTGGCTTTTTCTCGCCTTAGATATATATCCTTTGCTTCAACTCGACGTTCCTCGCTTACAACTTGCTGATGAAGAGGCGGGCAGCGAACAGGCGCACGCGCTGGGGCAGGATGTACTTGGAGAAGACGTAGATGAGCGATGGCAGGAGGATAAAGGCCACGGTAGTCTCGTTGACGAAGAAGAAGGGGATGAGCTGGGGCATAGCAGACTTGAGGACCGTCTATTATCCAATGGTCAGTTTCCCAACATTCCCCGCGCAATCAACTAGGGGCCATTCTCACCATCTGCTGTGGGCTGACCTCGGTCTTCTTGGTCTGGCTGGCGACGAGAGCAGGGCGTGCCATGGCGGCCGGGCGGACAGCCGTGGGGGCGCGGAAGGCAGCCCTGGCAAAGGGACGGAGGAAACGGGCGTTCATGATGGGCTATCTGGGCTGTTGCGGGTCAGCGCGCTGCTGCGGGGGTCCAATGGCGGTGCTGGAGCTTTCGATAGGGGCAATTGACGCACTGGATCAGGTCTTGCGAGCCCCGGGAGATGAGCGATGATGGCGTTGCGGTCGCGGGAGGTTTCGTGGTGGTGGTGTTGCTGCTGCCGGTCCGCAAAAGCTCGCACAGCTGCCGCCCGGAACATGCCGCGTCCGTGCGCTGCGCTTGGCATCACCACTTTCCACCCCCAGACTTGGCCTCTCTCTTCTTCACTCTTCCCACGAAGATGGCCATCGAAAACATCATGATACTTGGCGTAAGGCAGTCAGTGTGCCTGCTGGTTTATCAAAGCCCGCTGACTTGCCTGTAGAACGGACATATTTGCCGTTCCATCATCTCCGCTCTATGCTCACAACAGACATCATCTGATGACTGCAACTACAAGATATCTGTGCTAACGTATCCTTCTCAAACACTAACTCTTCCACCCAATGTCTCTCAATCTCCAGTACAACACAAAACCTCTGATTTCACACCAAACGCACTGCAGTCGGCATTCATCGGCTATGATATTATCCTAAGCACAATGACAGGTGGGGACTCGGACCTACAGGTTGGCATCATCAACGCCATGGTAGCCGCAGGGGTCAGGCGATTTGTCCCCGATGAGTTCAGTCATGACAGTCTGAACAAGCAGCTTCAAGCCCGCCTACCCAAGCATGCAGAACGAGCAAATGTTATTAACCATCTCAAAAACCTGTCAGATGCTAGTCCGAGCTTCGAGTGGACAGCAGTCGCTACAGGGTATACACTTGACACCAAAATCATCAATGGCGATATGGGCTTCGACATGGAATGGCAAAGTGCTACTATTCATGGCACAGGTATGGAGTTATTTGCGGCCTCCAGTCTAGCAAGAGTAGGTCAGGTTGTGGCTCGAGTGCTTGCCAACTGGGAAAAGACCAAAAACCAGTACATCTATGCTGCCGGCACTATCATATCAGCTAACGAAGTCCTCGAGTCTGTGGAGGAGTTGACTGGTCAAGAGTTTGCTGTGGGGAGATATGCCGTAGAAGAATGCGTCGAAGAAGGGCGGAAAAGGATCGAAAGAGGCTATCCTGATTCGGGGCTTGCTTTGCTCGAGCGGAGTATACTCTACGATGGCCAGCTGAATGCATCGGCACCTTTTAGGACACACAACGCCAATGACATGCTAGGGCTTGCGCCAGAGTCGGCAAACTCCATTGTTACAAAAGCATATCATCGCTTGAGGCATCTTGGCAAACCGGGTTGTGCATGTGCAACATGAACTCAGTATCTCGAGACCAAATGCCTTTTTTGAGCTGAACAAAACAAAACTCGAATCATGCACCCTGATGGCTACGAATCTATATCCTCTGCCTTGAAGCCTGTAAATCACAGATCTGGCACTGGCGCGGAGGCTCTGAGGTTTGATACTCGCCGAGGATATCAGACCACTTTACCGGCAGGACGAATAATCAAGGCGTCTCATACCACAATCAAGATCATATCAAGATCAAGTCAGATCTAAATGTCCGTGTGTATCTGTGTGCACAAGGGTGTATCAAAATGCTCAGCCCTTAAAAACCCCACCAACCAACGGTTGACTCGAAAAAAATAAATCCACAAAAATAAACCATGTCCATTGGCAAGATACATTTTTCGACGTACGCAATCCTATCTACCAGCCCAGCCCCACGTCAGCATGCTACCCCTAACTCCGCTTTTTGGGTACGTATCTAGATGACTGGTACATTTCGTCGCTCGTGCACCCTGCGTTTCAGTGAGTTTTTCCGTGTGTGTGGTGTCAGATCCTGCTACCCGAAACATGAGGCTGTGTGACGCCAGCGAGGGTGTTTGGCATGCCGAGGCCATCTTGCCACTGGGGTACTGGGACTGCTTCTTTCCGGTGGCTGAAGTCGTAGGGCTGGAAGTGGGGGGTGGGTAAAATAGATTGGGAGGCTACGATTCGCATTCGTTGCCGAACCAGGCGTAGTTACTACACCTTGACCACTTCTGCTGTTCGAACGGACCCTGTAAACAAAACAAAAAGAAAGAAAGAAAGACACACACACAGAGAGAGAGACTGGGGCATTTGTATAATCCTTGGGACTGATTGATTCGCTGAAAGCAAGTCTATAACGTGAACTGCGAAGGGGAATTTACTTAAGTGCTATGAAGAGTGGCAAGGATTCTCGAGATAACGACAAAGCCAAAAACTAATCTAACTAGATGCTGGGGGGAAGTCATGACCTCGTGACTACCGCTCGCTGGCGCCAACTCGGCGTAACCAAAACCTAAAGTAACGCTGTACAAACAAGAACGCTTCAGAGAAAATGAATAAAACCGACTTTGCTTGAAAACCATGCGCTTGATGCTCGGGGATTACAAAGAACGCCTTCGCCGTTGGGAGTTGTGGGGGGTCTTGGGAGGGGTGCGAGGGGAAACGGATTTGCTCAACCAACATTGAAAACAACAGACGCAAACCATGAAAGATGGCGCACCGTCACCTTTCAGTGCCACCATGGCAATCTCATATCATACTCGCTATCGAGTTCAATGCGACTGTGGTCGTCCGTATACCAACGAGCTCTGGTTCGCTTACTTGGTGTGCCAAGTCTGGCGTGTACTGATGGTTGGCGAAGTTTGGTAGACTTTGTAATGGCGTGGTGAACATGCCAACAACAGACTCTTGCCTAGTGGTTTGATCCATGTGACTCAGGTTGGCTGATGCTATCGTGGGTGTTCGGAGTGATTGCATCGTTGGTGTTGCTGAAGAAGGAGTGGGGTACGCAGCACTGCCTGGATGACACGAACTGCTCGGTCGAGGGGTTGATGTTGGCGTAGACGTTGGCAAAGGTCTGCCATATGATTGTAGTGATGCGCTCCCTGGGATCGGAGTGGGAGTAGAATGACGATGAGAAGTCGGGTCTGCTTGCAATGTGTCATGCTTGAACGGGTATGGAGACGACGTTGACGAGGCAGATGACGCCGCACGAACTCGCCCGGCTTGCGTTTCCCGACGCCTTTTTGGACCGTCCTTGACTTTCGGGTGTGTATGGCACTGCGTTTCAGGTCAGTACAGTTGAGTATTTGTCAAGGTGACCAGTTTGGCCGAGCGATTCCAATTCGGAGAAGACTTACCTTGTATGCGTGACGGAACCATGTCGTTCCCTTTTTCTTGTTGCTTACCAGTGCTATCCATTCTCCGCAGCTTCCGCAAAGTCCTTCCCAGACATCCAGGTTACCTTCTGTCCTGCGAGTCTCTTGTGGACCCTGGAATGCTGCGCCGGTAGCTGCGCTAACACCATGCGTAAACGACTTGTCATACCAGAATGCACTGTTCTTCAGAACAAGCCATCGCCCTGGTTTGCAGAGCCCGCACCAACCTTCACGCTTGTTCCCATGTCCGCGTACCCATCGTGGAGTGTACAAATCACCCACGAACCGAAGATCTTGCTCGTGCGGGATAAGGTCTGGGTCCGATGGGTTCATGTCAGACTCAGGCGGGTTCGAGGCTTCTTCATGTAGCGATGAATATAGGTCCGGGGGATCCGAAAGGTCAGCAAAGTGGGATGAACAACCACCGTGGCGGTCCGCATTACTCTGGAGCAGACGGAAGAGACCCTGAGAAGGCAGTGGGCGAGGCACTTCAAGATGGTAGGGTGATTGATCTTGTGCTGCAAAGTATGGTGGGGTGTTGGTATGCTGAGGGTTTGTCTGCGAATACAGGACGTTCTGGGCAGCCATTCCGTAGTTGTTATATGCGCCCGAAGGGTAGGCTGGCATGGAGTGGTGGGGGTTCAGCCTTGGGCCGTATGGCGTAAAGTGATTCGGTACTTGGGAGACTGTTCGGGCATTGGCGGGGGTTGACGTTGGCGCGTGTCCGGTAGACCATCTTTTGAAACGGCCACTGTCTAGTGTATATGGCGACGACCGTACGTTATTGTGCGGTGCTGGCGAGGCGCGGGAGCGACTCCCACTTCTCACCACACCGTCGTACTGAGGACGACATGGTGACGCAAGCGGGGATAGGAGATGGCTCTGGCTTGGTTCCGGGCGGCTCCATGTGTCATACTCGGAGGGGTATGACACTGGCTCCGAAGTGCCCAAATCTTCGTAAGCTACTGGCTCTGGAAGCACGCCACCTGTGCTCGACATTGAGAAGGAAGACTCTGATAGGCGTCGGGTGGTGTTCGGGTTCAAATTGGCCATGCTGTCATGCTCCTGCTGTGGCATGCCATTGTACTGGCGCAGGTCGATGATGGGTGTATTCTCGTCGTGTCCCATGATGCCGTTGCTGAAATCGGTGACATCTGGATCCAGGGAGGGAAATGATTCCAACTCTTCGCACACCTTCTGACCCCATGGACCTGCAATTGTTAGTACGGCGACTGGAACTGCTCGGCCATGGACCTTACTTGTGTCGATGACACCCGGAAAGAAATCAGTAGGTGCTAGCGATGTAGGGGGCGCCATGCTGTTGCTGTAGAAGTCGCTGCTTGTGGTAGCTGGTTGGGTCACATTCACATCTGTTCGCGCCAGTGAGTGTCCCGAGTCCTGTCTTCCCACGACAGGACCTCTTGGCGCACCATAGTACGAAGGGTGAGGCTGCGGTATCGCCCACGACGATTGCGGTGGCGATGGTCTGGACATTTGCAGTAGATTCTGTGGGTGTTGCTGTTGCTGTCCTTGTGGGGCAAGACCCCCGTAAGGATACATCATCTGTGTTCCGGGCGTGGGAGAGGGGTGGCCCATCGTGTGTTGTCTATTAGGCGATGGCCTGTATCTATATAACAGGTTGTTTTGCTTAGAGGGGCATCGCTGGTTGAGTAGTGTTGGATAGGGCTTACTGCTGGACGGTGTGGTAGTTCATCTTCTAGCCAACCTGCTATATACAACAGTCTTGGTGAAGTCTGTGGATATTCTGCTTGGGGCAGGCAGTAAGCAGATAGTCAAGGAGGTTGTGGCTTTGATGAGGAGTGTGGCGTCGACAAAAGGTTCAAGATTGGTGTCTGTCAAGGAATCCGGGGGGGCGAGCGGAGGACGCGGGCCACTTACATTGGTAGCGAAAGTAGGGATGACTAGTCAAATGAAGGTCTAAGGCGATATAGTCGAGGGCCAATTTGATGAGCAGACGCGGAACCGAATAAGATTGGATAATGTGGTAAGTGTGGGGTTTTCTTCAAAAGAGTGTACGAGAACAAATGTTCCCAACAACGCAACCAGCGCGAATGGAGCCGGCTCCAAAAGAAAGAAATGTTTACAAAGATAGTTGGGTCGGGTCCTAAAGAGTGAAGGGCCAAATAGAAGGAAAGACGGCTGGAGGGGCTGTTAGGCTATATGATGCGTACGGGTTCGCAACATCCGAGAGGAACAATAAAGAGCGACGATGTCTGCAATTGACGCAACGGAACCGCTTCGATTCAAGTTTGAGAGAAGTGTCGCGACGCGCCTTGGCTGCAGGTGATCTGGAACGGTCAGAGCAGAAGCGTTCACCCAAAAGAGAGTCTAGCGGGGATGGATGTAGTGGGCGGTGGACGGTGCGCAAGGCTGCTGGGATTCCAAACGGCGATTAGACGCACTCGGAACGGTCGCACCAGTCAGTGTCTCCATCAATCCTCCCGGCTTACTCGGAGAGGTCTCCTCGGCGGAGGGCAGCAGGCGCCCCAAGTCGCCATTGGCACAAGTGTCTGTCGACATGGATGGAGCGATGGTAGCAGCCCTCGCCCTCCGCTATCAACTCTAACACCAACAGGGGCCAGGTTGGTGCAGACAGCAGTCGAGCTGAGCTGGACAGGCAAGCCATGGCTCTCTATCCGTGATCCGAAGCCAGGTTTCAGCGCTGGCCAGAGATGGTGTAGAGCCAGTGAAGAAGGATGGATGGGGTGAAGGAAGAATATGCCTGGGAAATGTGCAACCTGCCCATGTATCAACACGATTGGGGTGGGCTGGCAGGCCGTTTCATCGCATCAGGAAGACTGTGCTGAATTGGGCGGAGAGCCATCCCGACGACGAGGATGGGCCGCTGATTGGGGATGAGGTTAGTTGAGTCGCCTGTGGCGCGTAGTTTTGGTGAGGGAGGCGGATGAGGTCAGCGACCAAATCCATCCAGCCCCACGCCTTTTACCGTGTCGCGACGAGGGCGAAACACTCCTGACACACGCCCAGGGGCACCTGCGACCCACTCTGACCACAATATGTACCGCACCATTACCGCCATCCTCACCTGTTCTCGTATTGACTCGCCGAGAGCAATTGCCCGGCGGGCCCGTTGTGCGGTCGCGGTGGCCGAGTATCCCTCCTCTGCAACTCGACGCCTTCTGTTTATGCCCCCTCAGACGGACCGCATCCTCGCCGAACCGTACCATCTTTAGTGGCCTCTTAATCTCGATCCACCAGCTCCAGGAGAGCTGTTTGTTGTGCAAGAGCGTGGGCTGTACTGTGGATGTAGTGCTGCACAGCTACTTCGATGTGCATACATGTGATGTGTACTTAGTCAATGTGGCTTCCTGGTGGCCTTGCTGCGGTGCGGGCCATGACAGGCTCTCACACCTGCTATCGAGTCATGTTGACAAGTGACAGCGGCCGATCGACTATGTGTGTAATTGGAATTACCAGTATGGGGTGCAGCGTGGCGTGAAAGCCTGCATGTATATCCCCCTCTGATATCATCTGGGGCTTGCCAGTACACAAATGGAGCAGTAGCTTCGCCACACCCCATCGCCGCCAGTGTATCGCGCCATGTACCCAAGTGCTCATAAACCTGGCTATCGGACTTGCCTAAAAGTGCCGAGCCTGGGCTTGTAGCAGGGTTTTGAGCCTCCAAGATGTCTAAATTAACTATTGTGCCGAAAGATATACCAGAGGGCATGAACTAAGTAGATTTCGTGCAGCACAAGCCAAGTCGGAGGATGCGCTACAAGGTGCTGCACGCTATCAGTATTAATGCTGCCTTGGACCAGCAAGGCATGCCCATGCCTTGTCCCAAGCTACCTGCGTAAAGCTCCTAATTTTGGACCTTGACTTCCTAAACGCTATGCGCTGCCTTGTACACCTTTACCTAACACTTGTACGGCCTGACCACACGTGAGGTTTTGCTAAAACAGTGTAACCAGTGCGACCTTGTTTCCAGTCAAAGCATAGTCTCGCAAAGTGTCTGGCTATTGTTTGCTGTTGCATTATTCTCCGCCGTTTTGCTTTGCCCCACTCTCGACCAGGCTGGACACTGCCCTGAGGACTCGAAACCCCTCCGCGAAGGATATTCGATCAACCCTATTCTGACTTGAAACTCTAGGAAGAATTGTATCGATTTGATCATATCGATTTCTAGCTTCAGTCAGATGTGTCGTTGACGCGTTGATGTAGATCATGTCGTAATTTCTATAAACGTACATACACAGTCTTTGATCTACACAGGCAAGCCCTGCGCTCAACAGAAAACTCTGGAGGACCGAATACACGATCAACGTATCCCTGATGCCCCAAAACAGTACAGACACCCGTACCGATGAAGATCTTCCTTTCGCGATCCACCCCCTTAGACCTAGTAGACACATAGTGCTTACCCAGCATACCCAGCATACCCCCTCGTCCCCCTTTCTGCCGGTACACCCTAAGAAGCGGCATACAAAATCACTTGCAAAACACAGTGAACAAAACATGTTCAGACCCGAACCAGACTTCCCACCACACCTACACACTATCACTCTCAAGCTACCTACACAACCCCTCCAACCCCCTAAAACCAGGCATACAAAACCATGTACAAAACATACGCCGAACAGGCCTACCCCCTATCCACATAGCACAAACAACTATTACTCTACCCAAGACTCCGCAGAGAGAGCCAAAAAAAAAGATAGATACAACCCCTCCACCCCTCACCCCTTCCCTATAGCATCGCCAAGTAAAAACATAAAAAAAAGAAACAATCTTATCAGTATAGAAACCTCCAAAAACACAATTAGTGCACGTACTGTACGTCCGTACGCACGTTCCTCCCTTCCGACAAGCTTTAGTTTTTTTCTAAAAAAAAATCAGCCCTACTTCATGCCTTGGTATGTTGAAGTGGGGTAACAAGGAAAAAATCAAAAAGGGGAGAAACAGGGAAGAAGGGGGGAAGGGGGGTGACAACTTGATACTGTACATGTGTGTAAATAGTGGTGCGTATGGGGAAAGAGATTCAGATCTTGTTTTTTCTTTTTGCTGGATGTTGTGCATCGGATTCATCAAGTGTCTGACCTATGTGTTTTTTTGTGTTCTTCTCCCTGTCCGTTTTTTCAAAAACAGGCATGGAACAACTAGATCTTCTCTTTGACGGATATGGCTGTTTTGGCATTTGTCATCTGGAATATGTCTGAATTCGGCCGAGCAGAATAGCATGGGGGTGTGGAGTGGGTAAGACGAGCACAGCCTTGTTACTGTCCAGGGAGTCTGCATACGCAATGTCTTGGTCGGACCGAGGATAGAAAGAGGAGGTCATTATCAGATATTGTTTTACGTCGCATCTATGGACAGAATACACTAGTTTCACAGGGTATACATACTAAGCGGCCTTTTTGTCCAGGTTATGTAGTGGATACTGGGGACCAAGCCTCCAGTCCATCATCCAGGACTTGCCGCACTAAAAAAGAACTTGCCGGCTCCATTCCGGATTTGATACACACTTCATCCTTTCGTTCCATACATAAACCGTCACCGTCTCTCACAGTTTTCCGATTTTGATTTGGCATTCTCCGCTAGTAGTGTCGAAACTCAACGTACTAGCGCCATCACCCTTCTTCGCTTCGACGTGATTTTTGCCGGGTGTGTCGTTTTCGTTGAGCAGTTCTAGCCCCTTGCCTTGCAGGTGCAGTGCTCCGTTTAGAGAAGTTCCGTCAACATGACCAGTCCACTCTTCCGGATAGGTGATGTCGAGGGCTCCAGAAGTGCTCAAATGCGTGCTGACAAGACCAGTCATCGGTGTCTTTTTCGCCTTGTATGGAGTGCGTAGTGTCAGTGACGTTTGACCCGAGTGTGTCTGTGTGTATATCTCCGATTGGTAATCACCCGATTTGAATGGCACGATATCGGCTGTTACGAGACCTGCGATTGAGTTGATTTCTGTTCGCGAGCCGTGGATGAAGGTACCGTCGACCGAACCGACGGTTGTGTTGATAAAGGTCTTATAGTCTCGTTCGGGGATATGCTTTCGTTTGAAATCTGTGCGTATGCTACCGGAAAGAGTATCGACCATGAAAACTGCAGGGCTGGATGACCCATTGGCAGCTTCTTGGGGCTCAACGTTGATGTTGACAGAGCCGCTCTTTGTCTTGACAGAAAGAAGATCGAAGAGGGCGTACATGCCGCTGATGGAGCCAGAAATGGTTTGCAAGTGAGTTTGGCGCGAATAGAACGCTCCAGCATCTAGTGTACCGGTAGTGAGAGAGATCGATGTTGAGTCTGTGACGGTAAAGTTGGCGCCATTGTGAACTTGCATGCCCATGTGGTTGGATGAGACTTTGAGCGTCTTCATCGAGACTCCTGGGGCTACGTAAATGACCACCGACATGCCAAGGCAAGCTTTACCAGGCCGAACACCGTCGAAGCCGTCGGGAAAAGAAGGATCGCCGATTGTCAGTCCTGATGGAGTCTGTGTGTAGGGAACACTGTTGATATCGACTGTTGACGAGATTGCATACGACATTTTCACTTGAACGGTACCAGGGGCTTGCTCTGCAGGTGCTTGGGCAATGTGTATCCAGCCGGCCACGCGTTTGTAAGAACCGTCCAACTGGTGTATCGCCTCTTGAATGTTTAGCTCACTAGGTTTGCCAAAATCGTACCATTCAGTCTTGACCCTGTACTCCTTGCCACATTTTGAAGGCCACCGGATTGGGAAGAGTTGAGCAGAGTCTCCCGATGCCGGGGGCTGGGCTGTTGACGATGGTTCTGGCCATGGGATGGCAATGAGATCTGGCCGATCAGAGGAGTCGGCTTTTGCAGCCTCGGCTGAAGTTTGGGGAGCAGATACTACGCCCTTTGTGAAGGTTAGCGTTATTCAAGCATATTGTTATTTGATCAGCAAATGTCACGTACTGGCTTGTCCCTTCGAACCGACACAGCTGCCGCCATCAAAGCCAGCATGGCGACAAGAAACATGAAGCAAAGCACTGCAGCAAGCAGCTTGACCCACGTATTCCTTATGCAGCGCTGCCTCAGACTTGGGCCGTCATACTGGTCTTCTTTGAAAGTTGCATCTCTGGCTTCTTGGCCATCGAAGGAGAGCAGCCTGGCGCCCTCTCCCCTGCTCTGGCGACTCGTGTAGAGGCCAGGGGTAGTGGCTTCAAGATATGTGGGTGGTGCTTCTGAAGTCTGGCCTATGAAGCTTTCCAGAAGCGGCGTGGAGCGTTCATTGTATGGAGATGGGGATATTATGATTTGGGGTCGCATTGAGCGACTGTTGGCAGCCGCAGTGTCGATGTACATGATGAAGGAATGGAGCAGGATATGCCCCGGAATGGAAGTAGAATCAGGAGCGATGGGTTGGACGGATTAAAGAGCGTGGGTGAAGGAGTGCCTGAGTCGACGTCGTGGGTGTTTGGAGACGGACAGAGAAGAGAGAGTAGAAGGAGATGCAAAAGCCAAGGAGACGAAGTCAGGCAGCGATTTCACGGTATATCAGGTTCGGCAACAGGTGCCAAAATGTTCATAAGCCGTTGCACGGGCTGGGTTGTGCAATGGGCTGCTACACTTTTGTTTCGGTGGTGGAAACGCGGCATGTTTGATGTGTGTCTTGGCAAGCAGAGGAGGTATAGAAGCAAGTCCAGAAGTGGCAGACGACCCGCGTCGACGATGTGCGGTCGAGGGGCGATTTCTTTTTTGTATGCTGTGAATCGTCTGGTTTCACGGGGTGCGATGGAGGCGAGTGCAGATGAAGATTGATTGATTGAAACGGGAAAAGAAGAGCCGGCCTTGAAGCGTGTGTGAGTGAGTGGTGTGTGAAGGGCGCGGTGGGAACGGCTGTCTAGGCGCGGCAGTGCCCAGGGGCCTTAGCGCGGGAGGCGGGGCTGGGCGGTTGACGTAGCGAACGAACGGCGGTGCATCAGAAAGTCAGAAAGCCACTGCCTCAACCTCGACATGGCCGCGCTGCACAAGCTGTCGAAACTCTCAGGCCCGCACTGCATCCTCCTGGCCGTGCACTATGCCGCTCACGCAAATACACCTGCGCTCCAGGCCTTGACGGCTCTGCGCGACGGCGACCTGCCACTGGAGTTGAGCCTGAGCATCCTCCTCGCATACCTGCCAGAGCAGCATGACCCGGCCTCATACTACCACCTCCTTGCCGGCCTGGCCACGGGCGCCCGCGAGCCTGGCGACAACCCGGCAGACGCCCTCGATGTCGCGCCTGTTGAGCAGCTCTCGGATGCGCGCGCCCGTAAGAAGAGGCAATCGCTGGTGCTGCCACCTGTAGCCCATCCCTTGTATGCGGCCGACCGCGACATGGACCTCTTCACCCACTTCCTCATCCACCGCTCCCACCGTATCGATGCCCAGACAGGCCTGCTAGATCTCGTCCCGCGCCTCGTCGTGCCCTTCCTCGACCACTCGGAGCACTTGCGTACCTGGTTCATCTCCACTGCTCTGCCCCTCCTGCGCCTCAGCTACGAGTACTATCCACACTTGCCTCCACCCACCCTCGACGACTTTGCCGCACTCAAGGGGCGCCGTGCCGTTGACTTGCAGCTTTCGAATGCATGCAATGCCAGTACAGATAACATACACAATGTCGCGCGTGATCTCAAGGGGGTTGTTGCCCCTTGGCTATGTGGAGCCCACGACCGTAGTCGGCGCATCTCCGTGAACCAGGATCGGCGCGGATCAATTGACGATGAGCGGCCACACGTACCCGACGACTGGGACTGTTTGTTCCAATGGCTACTGCATACCTCAAAAGATCACTTGACCCTGGTCACAACAGCCATTACTGAATGGGACGGCCCCGAGGACATGGATTTGGGGGGTTATGAACAGGGGCGCGACTATGTCGACGATGCCCAGCAACGCCAGCTCGAGATCAAGTACGCACGTACAGCTCTAGCATGTCTCTACCTGATTCACCAGAGCGACATCAACGCTCTGCAAACTGCGCACACGCTGTTGGATCGGATATGTACACTACTCAACTACGATCCGCCCCCAGACCTCAATACAAGCGTGGACAAATTGCCTTCTTACGATCTCAAGAACCCGCTGCTCCATGATTCAACCATTGCCCTGCTGAAGGAGGAGCGCCTTCTGCATCCCGACAACGACCTTACTCAGCCAGGCCCTGATGCGTTTCGTGTCCTGGAACTGATTATATTCACTTCATATACCCTCTTTACATTACATCATCCGGTCTCTATCCGAGACGTTGCAAATATGTCTCTGCGGGATGACTACTCTGAGCAAATGTCCATGTTGCAGAAAATACTTCATACACTCAACAGCAACTCCAAGAGCGACAGCGAACAGTGGCGCATCATCCGATCGAAGCTGGTATGGCTGTGGAATTGGGGTACTGACCGCCACGATGAAGATCGCAAGGCCCAAGGCATCTTCGGTATGCTAGATAGCAAGACCATGGAGACAGAAATATTGAAAGCGCTCCTCGAGAGCAACTACTTCCCTCTTGCCATAGAAATCTATCTTAAGCCATCCTTTGGCCAGCAACCGCTACTTTCCTCTGATGTAGAGAAAGTGGTGCTCGCCTCAGCCATGCATCACTACGACAATGCAAGCAACGGGAATCGCAATAGGGGCGGTGTCAAACGCGCCGCTGACATCCTAAATGCCTTTTCTCCTCATTTCCCCTCTTCTTCGCGGTTTCGACGTTTCCAGGCTCTGCTTTCAGCAACCCACGCCATGTCCTTTTACTCACTCATACTCCAGCATGGTGTACCTTTTCAACCGGTCAATATTAGAGTTGGCTCGAATCCTCTATCTTTGGTTCGAAAGCTATTGTCGCAAAATAGTGGTAGTTACACAAAGCTGGACGACCTAGTGTCGATTGGACAGAACCTGGTCATCGCAATGCCGTCCACTCTCATGGACGAAGAAGAGTGGGACACTGCGCTTGACCCCGCAGAGATCGAAGGGAAGAAAGCGGCTGCCGAAAGACGAGTGATTGGAATGGCGATCGAGGCTGCTCTTGAGGAAGATGATTTCGAGACTGCATATTCATACGTGATTACCCGGCTGACGCCGAGTACTCCCGCAGGCACTCCCCCAACGCCGGCTCACTATTTCCCAACCACGTCAGAAGATGCCGAGAACCACGAAGACGAAGCTGAGGATGTTGCCTGGCGGGCTGCCCTACATGCTGGACGTTACAACTCCTCATCTCTGTCCAGCAGTTGGTCGCAGGCCACTAAAACAGCGAGACCGGACCTAAGGAGACTGGAGCAACGCATGGAGTTACTTTCACAAGCGCTACTATTAGCACCACCTAAACATCTTGAAGAGGTTCTTTGTGTATGGCAGCAGTGTGAAGCTGAAACAATACATCTTCTCACTCAAGAGAATGAAGCTGAAGAGCGCTTCAATGATGCAGCCGACCGAAAACTGCCTGGTACATTTGACATGGAAGCAACCACTGTACAGCCTCGTCGTGAAGTCGGCAGGGGTGCAGTCGAAGAGGCACCGATGGGTCTATTTGATGTTGCACGTGGCGCTGCAGCTGCATTTTCCAAGACCGCCTTCCCCCTGCGTGGAAGTGCAGAGGCTGCATCGAATCCAAAGGTTGGCTCGGGTCGAGCTAGTCTGGACGGAAGTGAGACTGGTAGCATCGATGCTCAAGAGCGTGTTCGGAGGAGGGATATGGTGACCAATGCCGCGACAGGGGCGCTCGCCTCCGGCATTGGATGGATGCTGGGTAAGAAAATCACTTCACCGGTTGATTGTGAGGCTAACCGATTTCAGGTGCAAAACCAGTCTCCGAGTGAGCTTTTACCTAAAGTTAATCCTAGTGAATTGAAATGTATAATTCGCTCAATATTACACTCATATATACCTATGATGATATTTTGTGAAACCCCCTCACATACCTTCTATTATATCACTCTACACACTGTTTGTGACACTTGGTAGTTTAGGGAGTGATGTTGTTGAAGAACCCGTTTGATCCCAAAAACATGGGTAAGAGGTGATTGCTCTACAGTGATTAATGTCAAAACTATCAAATTTTTCCTCTCACCTTTGCACAATCTCTCACTTTCATCTTTGCAGTGTCTCAGCTGCCGTTTGTAGAGCGTGGACCCACTCCTCAACATTATAGCGTGCCTGCCTCTGTAGCTTCACCTCGAATTGTTTGTACCTCTCACCCATAGACTATAAAAGTTTCATCTGCCGCCGACTCCAGTCTCTTCTTCTGATACATACAAATACCCATACACACACGCACCTCAATATATCCCAAGAAACAACACAAAATGTTCACCAAGACACTCATCAGTCTCGCCGCCGCACTCAGCGCTGCAGTTGCCGTCCCGATGACTACTGCTGGCCCCAAGCCGGTCCGCATGCACGTATTCGGTGAAGACAACTGCAATGGCCCCGTCACCTTCATGTCAGTCGACGCAGACACGTGCTACGAGTTTGCTCCGGGCATCAAGTCTCTCCGCGTTGTCCACCACGACGACTCGATTCGTTACAACGCCTGTAAGTCACTCTCTCGATTGTTCTTTTTTCCCCCAGCTCTGGGTTTGCAGTTTCGAAGATATACAGAAGGAAATAGCAGTGGTTAACATAAGTGAAAAATCGATAGTGAACGTCTACTCTGCGCCCGACTGCAAGTCTGGTCCTGTGCTCCAGCCCATCTTGAACGATGGCTGCTCGGCTGTCGTCGCCTTCAAGGCTATTAAGCTTTCGATTGATACACCAAAGATCTAGACTTGGGCTTCTTTGTGCTGGGCTAAAGTAAGTTTGAATAGGTGTGCTACCTTGTGGTAATTGCGATGCTAATGATGGCTTAGACACTGAGGCGCAGCTGCAAAGACACATACACACAGGCTATGGCGAACAAGTTGAACAAGGTTCATGGTGCACTCGAGAGACTAGGCGGATATACCCGAGAGAATGATACGAGCTGGTAGAGAGGCTTGGGCATAGTAGTCAGACTGCAGTGATATGATACCATCCTGGCTTTCTTGACGGATGATAGCAAAAATGACAATACCTAAATGCAGTTGATGTACCAATGCTCAAGACTCCTTGATTGATGCAAAGCGACGTAGACCTGATGAACCATTCTTACATATTCAATCTCCCAACACGCATTTGCTCTCACTCACCACATAACACACAAACATGCTTGTACAAGAGATATGTCTTCCTCACGCAAATAGCAGCAACACAAGTGAGCAGTCAGACATGTCCTGATAACATAATCAATATGTCGATTGATAACTTGCTAGTACAAAACATACAAGAAAAGAAAAAACGCCGCCGCTGATGCTCATCATGCTAAAGACGCTGCGGGGAGGTATATATAAAAAAGACAAGATTTATTACAAAAAAAAGAAAGGAAGAGAGAAAGAAGGAAAGAACCCAGTCTGGTACCAAAAGTGCATTCTCCCAGATTATCCGAGGGCACAACGAAACAAAATCCTAAACTTTTTCTTGTCTGTTTGATGCTTCTTGTTCTTGTTCATCTCTTTCTTCTTCTTCTTCTTCTTCTTCTTCTTCGTCCTCATCATCATAGTAATCATCTCTCTTTCCCAAACCAAGTAAGTGTCTTTCTTACCTGTGTTTGACCATCTTCCCATAATACATGTCAACAACAGACCCCTGACTGGCATCCACACATATACACACATACTCATAGCTTTTCCTTCATTAAAAGGCCATTAGTGGCACAGCATTGAGTACACGGGCCATCTCATTGGGGGCCATCTGAGCACTCTGCAGACTACGCACTTGGCTGCCCTTGCGGAGACGCTGCAGACCAAGCGTCAGTTTCCAGCTCTCACTGTCGTCAATGAGGAAGACGTATTTTTTGCCATCGGCATCGCGGACAGAGGCTCGGAGAATATGCAGGTTCTTGGCGGGTTGCTTGCCAGTCTGACACACAAATACATGTTAGCATCGCCATCTCAAGCTGTAATACTACAGAACAAAAAGCCGACTTACCTCTACCATTTTCAGCGTCCAAGCCTTGACATCCCACTCACGTTGTGGAATGCCTCGCACATCATCATCGATGAACAAACCCTCGGATTGAATCTTCAGAATGAGCCCGTCGGTTACCTTTCCTACATTGGCTACGAGTTGAGCAACGGGCTTTGGGAACAAGTCATTGAAGAGATAGACAGCCTTGATGACAATCTTGTTAGGATCGGCTGTCGCGTATGGTCCGCTTTTTGAAGCTGGTGGTGTTGTGCGTGCAGTCGACTCTGAAGGTGCATAGGAAGACTCGGAGTATTGGGAAGAGACGTGTGAGCGAGTAGCAGTAGACCGAGGCGGGACAAAGGACTTTCCGTCTTCGCTGCTGAGGTAGGACTTTGCACTGGGTTTCTCGTAAGATTTCTTGGATGTGACGGTGGCCTTGATAGGAGACGATTGACTGGAGGCGACAGAAGCAGGAGCTGGCATCCTCACGCCTGCATAGGGGTCAAGTCGTTCGCCGCCGCCAACGCCACCATAAGTAGTAGATCTGCGGGTTGATGTGATCTCTGGGGCCGCGGCGGCAGCGGCGGCAGCAGCAGCAGCCTCAGCGGCAGCAGCCTCTTCAGCTTTGATTCTCTCTGCTTCGGCTTTGATCCTCTCTGCCTCAGCTTTAAGCTGCTCAGCTTGTAGCTTCTCAGCCTTGATCTTCTCGGCTTTGATCCTTTCTGCTTCAGCCTTGACCTTCTCTGCTTCGGCCTTGAGACGAGCCTCTCGGTCCCTTTGAGCTCGTTCACGTGCTGCTTTGAGACGCTCTGCTCGCTCAGCATCTGCCTTCGCTTTGGCAGCAGCGAGTTCTGCTTCAAGCTTCGCTTTTGCTTCGGCAGCTTCGGCAGCAGCCTTGTCAGCAGCGGCCTTCTTCGCAGCCTCTTCTTCGGCCTTGGCTCTCTGTTCGGCTTCGAGCTTTTCGCGAATCTCCTTTTCGATTTGAGCTCGTGCTTCTGCTTCGCGTGCCTCGCGCTCTGCTTTCTCCTTCTCCAAGGCCTCTTGTTGCTTGCGAGCTTTCTCCTTGGCCAGGCGTTCTCGTGCTTCACGTTCACGCTGCTCTCGCTCACGTTTGCGCATCTGCTCCCACTTCTCCTTTTCAGCTTTGGCACGCGCAAGTTTAGCTGCTTCTTCCTTGGCCTTTTGCTCTGCCTCCTTCTTCTGCCTTGCTTCTTCAGCGCGCTTAAGCTCCTCCCACGCTCGCCGACGGTCTTCTTCCTCCTTCTTCTTCTTGGCTGCCTCAGCAGCTAGTCTAGCTTCTTCAGCCCGGCGGCGCTCTTCCTCAGCTTTGCGTTCTTCCTCTGCTATGCGCTGTCGTTCGGCTTCCTCTTGCCTCTTCCTCTCCTCTTCGGCAAGCCTCTGCTGTTCGGCCTCGCGCCTCCTTCTCTCTTCCTCTGCTTTCTTCTTCTCCTCGGCCTCGCGCTTCAGTCTGGCTTCTTCTTTCAACCTAGCCTGCTCCTTGATCCTGGCCTCCTCCTTGAGTCTGGCCTCCTCTTTGAGTCTAGCCTCCTCCCTGAGTTTGGCTTCTTCTTTGAGTCGAGCTTCTTCCTTGAGTCGAGCTTCCTCCTTAATTCGAGCTTCTTCCTTTAGCCGAGCCTCCTCCTTGAGGCGAGCCTCTTCCTTCAGCCTGGCTTCCTCTTTGAGTCTGGCTACCTCCTTCAATCTGGCCTCCTCGGCTTGCCTTTTGGCCTCTTCTGCTTGTCGCTTGATCTCTTCGGCTTGTCTTCTGGCCTCCTCTGCTTGTCTTCTAGCCTCTTCAGCTTGGCGCTTGAACTCCTCAGCACGCTTACGCTCCTCTTCTTGTGCCTTTGCCATCTTTGCTTTCTCGGCGCGCTCACGCTCGATTTCCTCGACACGTTTACGTTCGGCTTCCTCTTCTTGTTTTCTCTTGGCTTCTTCTTCTTGTTTTCTCTTGGCTTCTTCAGCTTGCTTGCGCTCCTCTTCCTGTTTCGCCTTCTTCTCCTTCTCTTCGGCACGCTTCTGCTTTTCTTCGGCGCGCTTCCGCTCTTCTTCAGCCCGCTCAGCCTCTTCGTCCGAGGAAGGCCCGTCGTCTTGTGGAGGGGGTGACGATGCAGAGCCGTATTGACGGTATCCGCCCCATCCGCCATGAGGTGGGGGACTGCCTGGGAAGCCACCGTTTTGAGGCGGTGGTGGGGGTGCTCGCTGGTAGCTAGAGCTGCTTCCATTGTTACCAGCACCAGCACCTGAGCCAGCACCGGGTCCGCCGCGTGGCCCATTGCCATATGCCGCGCCGCCTCCGCCATTGAATCGGCGTCCGGCCTGTGTCTGGCCGAAAGCCCAGCCTGCAAGGAGCATGAGGACGGCTAGCAGAATGACACCATTGCCGCCAGTTGTGACTCCATGTCTGACGATGAGGAAGTATTGTTTGACGTGTGGCTCGGCAGCTTTCCAAAGGACTATACTGGCTATGGTGCTGAGTACACCAGCTATGAAGCTGTTCTGTTGCACACCCAGGCTGGGCAGGTATATGAAGCCACCCCCTGAGGAATGTGGAGGGATGATGAAGATGTCATAGTTGCCCGGAGGGAGACCGCCGGTAGGAGGGGGTTCGGGAGGAGCATGGCTGCCTCCAGTTGTCTTTGGGTTGGCACCATGTGGAGGTGGGGGAGGTGGAGGGCCGTCGTCCATGACTATGTACGCCCTCTAGGGCGGGTGGGTACGGGGGATCAGGGCAATGGTTCGTTGGGAATGTCGTGTGCTGCAACAGGTACAATCAGTTGCAAAGGAGCTGGGCGGTGGGAAGAAACAAAGCAGTGGGAAATTTCATGAGCGGAGCTGACTCGGAGCGATGGGAGGGAGTTGGAGCGGTGTGAGTGGGTGGGGTAACAATAGTGTTTATTGGATTATTCTTGAAGTCTCCCTCCCTCTGCGCAGACACACACTCGGGGGTCTCGCTCTCTCGAGGAGCAGAGAGGGACTGAGTGTGGTGAGAGGGAAGAGGAGCTGCAAGGTGTCCTCGCTGAGGGCTAGCACCATTGCTTTCTCCCAGAGCTGACTGCTCGGTTGTTTTTGGGTTTGTTTACGCCAAGCACCCGGAACGGCTAGCGCTGGCGGGCCGCTGGCGCCGCATGGCGACGACGCTACACAGGACACACTCTCCTATAGTCTGTTGGCCTGTGGGATGCGATTGCAAACCAGATTGTCTCTTGTCTGAACAGGTTTTCTTCTTCTGCCTGCCGGCCCCGACCTTTTAAATGTCGTCGGGTCGGCTGGAAAGAATACAGGTGGCTGGCAGACAACACGTCACGCGTGGTAGAAGCTCAGTTGGCGGGCCAGCAGGGCCGAGCGGTGAAAGCAGCTTCGGCCAAAGGAGGCGGAACACGTCGGGTGTGCATCCTTATGTCAGCCTGGGCCAAGGGCATGTACTCTTGCAACATGGGTATTTGGTGTTTTTGTTTGGTGGCATCCAGCATGAAGCTTATGTGGTTTGGGGATAGGACCAGGCTGTTGTCAATAGGTACCTCGAGCGTCAGGACCCGTATCACTTCCTCATCTTCGTGGCTCTTTACCCAACAATGGCCTGTTCTGGGTCGTCCTGGGCCACGTATATATATATATATATCTACATCTATATCTCGGAGTTGTGAGAGATTTGCTTTTAATTCATTTCTTCAGCAGAGAGGCTTTCTGCCCTCGAGGATTTCTCGCAAGCATAGTGAGTGTGTACGCTAACTAAGAATAGGGCAGGGTGTGAAAGGTCCATCTACCCGGTAATGGTCTAAAACGATGCCTACTCTAGACTACCCGGACGTCTACCGGCAATGGCTACCGACGCTCCCTGAATCTGTCCCTGACTAGGACAGCATAAAACCTGAACAGGAATGTCATCTGGGTCATATATGGCAGGGGTATGCTGACGTCAGGGTAAGTGTGCAGTGAGCGAGCTACAGCTGTGCCATGATTTGACAGTTTCAAGGTCGGTTGCCGCTTTGCTCAGTCAGCAAAGAGAGCCTGAGGCCCGAGGGCAGCCTTGCAGTCTTGCAAGTCAAGGTGGTGATGGTGGAGGGTGGCAGGACTGCCCTTGAGCTTGGCTTCAAGTGGTTAGCGCCGTCTGTCTGTCTGTCTGTTGCCAGCACCACACCAGTGTTTACAGTAGAGACTGACATGCACACTCCCACGCCCTCGTGGACAGCAACGAGATTGAGTCGACGCTAGGAGCATCACGTGCATATCAGCAAAGACGATATTTTGGGTGGGGGGCCAGCCAGGTGGTGTGGGCAGCGAATCACAGCCGGGGGAGCGAAACACGCCTGGCACGCGTCAGTGTGCGATTCGACCATGCCAACAGCATCGTGTCACTGCGGGGTCGAGAGGTGGGTGAGCAGCACGCAGTCGATATGGTGGGCGATTGTGGCAGCCGACGGTGCCGCATGGAGGCGTCTGCGTGCTCTCTGCAACGCGTGGACATGGCAGCAGCAGCAGATTGCACGGTCACCTGCCCCGCTGATTTTCGCCCATGGCAAACGGGTGCCGAAGATGGTCCGACTGGAGGGTTGGGGATGGAGGGGATGGGCATGGAGGGGCATGGAGATGGTGGTTTTGGTGGTGAGGGCGTGGGTGACAATGGCCCCAAGCTCACGGCATTCTCTTCTCTTCTTCAGCCCTGCGCAGGGTGGGTCCACCTTCTCCACCACGTCATTGCTTCACCATCACGCCAGCCGCCTCCCCCCTCCCCCCCAACAACGATGCGAGCCAGATTCGTCCGACGCCGGGACGAGTCGGGATGCCATGGTTGCCGTGCGGTGCGCCAGGCCTACTGATCCGCATGCAGGTACAGGGAGTGGCATTGTGTGCAGTCGTGGACAAATCAGCTGGCAGCGGCAGCGTGCAAGCGGAGGCATGATTGGGCTACAGGCGACGAGCAGCGTTGGGTGGGCAAGGCCGAAAAACAAAGAGGCCTAATAAAAGAGCAGGGCGCATGGGCTCGTCGACGGCTTTGAGACACGGCTTAAGCCCAGTGCAGACAAGACGCACCGCTGCTGCGACAGACTTTTCCACCCGACGCCCACACGATGCGGAAAATGGCGGTGAAAAGCGGGCACTAGCGCCGGCCGACTCGAGCACACGCACGACGTGACCAAGTACTAAAGCTCGGCCTGCGGCACATCGCGCCCACCTGTCCGCGTCCGACAAGACTGTAGAGGGTGACTGTTGGGTACGGCCATCGCACACAGCAGGAACCCTCAGACGACAACGACGACTGACGCAAAGGCCCAGCTCCGATTGTCAATTGCCAATTGCCCTTCCGCCCTCCGCCATTGACTCCTCTCCCACGGACAAGCTTCTCCCTCCCGCAGCCATGTGGAGAACCGGCCTGCTCTACCTCGACCGCGGGGACAGCTCCATCCTCAACGCCCTCCGCAACGCCGGCTACGACACCCAGAACCAGCCCACCTCGCCCTCGCGCACCCCCCGCCGCTTTTCCATGGCTAGCGACACGGAGAGCGCCCTCGAGGGCAAGCTCAAGCATGACATCAAGGCTCAGCAGGGCGTCCAGCACTGGGTCATGCCTTCGGATGTCAACGGCCTCAAGTTTGCCAGCCCCCGCGCCAGCCCCCGCACCAGGGCCATTGACCCCGCCGACGCTCTCGGCCTGGCCACCGACGCTACCCTGTTCGAAGAGCCTGTCCTCTATTCGCTGGATCGAATAAAGGAAGACAATCACCACCCCGACTACTTTGCCTACGACCAACTGCAAAAGTCGCCTTCGCTCAAGGACGACTGCGACGAGCCTGTCCACGTGCACAAGCGCCGCCCTTCGCACCTCCGCACCCCCTCCACCCCCACCATCGAGTCGCGCCTTGCCAGTGCCCAAAAAGCCTCGCGCTCCCTACCCCTCCGTGCAAAGACAAACGAGGGTCTCCTACAACTGCAGGCAAACACATCCAAGCCCCAGCGCTCCGCAAATACACACCAGCGCAGAATATCGCTCGGCCTCCCCATCAAAGCTGCCAATGCCCCCGGCGAAACCTCCCGCCTCTCGAGCCCAACAAACACTCGTTCCCTCCACCCAGCCACACCAAAACGCCTGCCAAAGAAGACGGGCACCGCAACAGCCATCCAGCAGGAGCGCGATCTGGAATACAAGCACCGCCACACCTTCATCGGCACCGCCTCGCTCGATGATTTCCTAGAAGTCCTCGACGTCTCCCCAGATCATATCACAAACAAGGACGCAATCATAAGAGCCTTTATCCTGCTAGCCTCGAGCGAGCGACTGCTCGCCCGCCAAGCATCACTCAAGCCCGATGGATGGAGCGTCATTGCCCGCACCTCTGCCGAAACCGTAAACAGCGACTACGTCGAACAAGCACACGCCAAGCTCGGCTCCATTGTCCTCCGCCAATTCCTCGACCTCATCACCTTCAACGAAGACGAAGAAGCAAACGCCATGAGCGTCGTCGAAGCCTTCACTGCCGCAAGCCACTTGGACACACAAGCCAGCAAGGCTTCAGGGAGTAAGGCCAAAGCCTTTCGTAAATGGATGGTAAAAGCGCTACCCCAATAGGGTCCCTGCTTTTGTTTTTTTACTTGTTTTCATTTTTTCCGTACACCTCTCTGCCCTTCTCATGATAATGCGACACGATGATGCCGAATGTCTTATGTTATTACTACATAGCCTTCCCCTTCCCTTCTCCCATCCAAATTTCTACCATTTTCTTTCCTCATCCCCCATCCCGCTCAGCCCATTAGATTAGTAAACCCCTTCTCCTAAAACCTCCTCTCCGACCTTAGGATAGTCCCCACCATTCACACCTTGTTCTCAAGGCGCGGCTGCCGAAAAGAATAGATCCACTTCGAAGCCAAACACTATCCTTCTCAAACACGTCCACACCCGTCTTGTAGTTTCCGATTACAGATACCCCGATAACATTGTTATATTACCACTGAATCTAAATGTATATTTCGCCATTTCTTCGCCGCCTTCAACCTTGATCATGCCTCTAACAGTTTTGTAGTTTCTCGACGCTCCCTTCTGCGCCCTCTCCTCGACAACGTATACGAAACCGTAACGCTGTATTCAGACGCCGCCATTGACGAGTGCCCTATCCTACCCCCACGCTTTACCCCGGACTTTAGCACAAGTCCTTCACCCCAAGCCGAGTTCTTTTGATTAGCCTCAGTGACCCTGCATTCGATTCTAGAAGAGACTTCGCAACAAGCGCCTGGCTCAGTGCTTCTCTGGTTACTCTCCATAGCGTCAACCTCAAGAATGGGAGCTGTGGATGTATCCACTCGTACTTGAAGACTAGCATACAATGTGCATGAGAAATGCAAGTGGCTGGTGCGTCCGATCTTCACTGATTGACAAGCGACGATATGACGCAGCGATTGAGCCTTAAGAAATACTAGCGTCGGCACTACGGAAGTGTTTCCTGTCAAAGAGTCGTCAGTTTCTATCTAGCTTTGCCCAAGCGATTAGATCCCCCTTTCCATGGCCTTGGAGTGTTTCGTTATATAGCAGGATAGTTTTCTTTACTTCTAGAGAAGCAGGACATTTTCTCAGAGGAATCAAATTGATCAATATCTTGTAAAGTCTGTTGCAGCACCCATTCTTGGTTGACGTCATTCTCTCGAGTGCAGGTGATTTTTTTCCGAGCATGACCGTAGTCTACACTAGTTGATGC